CCTGCAATATTGATTCCTGTGTACAATATTTCTGGTAGCTAGTTAAGGGGTCACATCTGCAGTCTCCCCATACACGGGATGAAGGAACGAGGAGGCATATGAAAAAATACTTACTGTTTGGATGCGAAAATGGTTTTATTTATTTTCTCTTCCTCCCCTCCGGTATTGGCAAGGAAAGCTGGGAATGGATAGGAGGGATCAATGATTTAGCTCTAGGGAGGAGGCAAATTCATCTTCCATGTGTGCTACCTGAGGCTGGAATCAGCCTGAAAAGTAAGGAAGCACATTTCCTAGCTCTGCTCATTCAAAGAAAATATTTGGTTTTGTGTTGCTGTTAACACCTGGTGGTGCAGTTACACAGCAGAGGGGTATGGGAGCACCAAACCATGCTTCTTTCATGGGGCTGAAGTTACGCCATGGATTTTCTGGGCTGGATCTCAGGATTGGAGGGAAATATGTTGAATGCTTTCCACCTTGTTTACAGAGATGAGAAGTTGTGCTCAGTGTATCTGTACATCACTGATCTTCCCATCTCCATTCTCACATCAGGACTGAAATATCGAACAATACTTTTGTTTTTCAATTGCTGACAAGTGGATGAGAGATCCATCTCCTGGAGATGGAGGCTCTGCCTGTTGCTCAAGATTCTTTGTAAAGCTAAATATGTAGCTGTGTGTCAGCAGCACCACTCTTAGCAGGAGTGGCATTTATGTGACCTAGCCAGAGAAACGATCGATATTTTTTATGATTTTTTTTTCTCCATAGGCTCACTCTTTATGTTAGGAAAAATTGGGGGGAAGGAAACCCAGCTTGAAAGAGCTGTTGGTGCAGTGCGCACAGGCAGACTGACTGCTCTTCAGCTCTTCCATGAAATACAGCCCCATGGAGACTTGATTTCCTTTGAAAGCACTGATGCCACAGGGGCATTGTAGTGGCAAGGAAATACAGATACTCACTTAATTTTAAAAACTTCATGTGTATGTCTACTGTAGGAGGTTAGGCTCCTACTACTTCAAACTAGGCTTGAAAATCATTCTATAGATTCTTTAGATCCCTCTACTCAAACACTCTGGCACCATATTAAAAACAGCATCCAGCAGTCCTCTGAAGCATTTTTAGGGTTCTCCTTCAAGATGAACAAGGGCTAGTTTGATGAAAACAATCAAGAGATCCAGGAATTGTTGAGGAAGAAGAGAACCGCACACCAAGCACACCTTGCATTGCCATCCTGTCACGTAAGAAAAGCAGCTTTTCGTCTTGCATGCAGCAAGCTCCAACAGAAACTCCGTGACATCCAGAACAAGTGGTGGATCATCTAGCTGAGAAAACTCAATTATGCGCAGATACAGGTGATCACAGAGGATTCTACGAGGCCTTGAAAACAGCATACGGGCCTACATACCAAGTCCAAAGCCCTCTACTCAGCGCTGATGGTCAAACGCTTCTGACAGATAAAACCTCCATTCTGAATTGATGGTCTGAACACTTTCAGACTCTTTTCAGTACTAGCCGTGTAGTTCAAGACTCAGCTATTCAGTGCATCTCACAACAACCAGTGAAGAATGAATTGGATACTGCCCCCTCTTTGGGAGAAACCCTTAAGGCCATACAGCAGGTGAAAATTGGCAAGGCAGCTGGGGTTGATGGAATTCCACCTGAAATCTGGAAACATGGGGGCCATGCACTCCATGCTAAATTTCACGAGTTTGTGGTGCGCTGTTGGGAACTAGGTGAACTACCATCAGACCTTTGTGATGCAGTCATCATCACTTTGTAAGAAGAAAGGAGTTAAATCAGACTGTTCAAATTACTGTGGTATTGCTCTGCTCTCCATTGCTGGCAAAATCCTGGCAAGAATACTTTTGAACAGATTAATACCCGCTATAGCAGAAGGAATTCTGCCTGAAAGCCAATGTGGTTTCAGGGCCAACAGGAGCACCACAGACATGGTATTTGTTCTCAGACAACTGCAAGAGAAGTGTAGGGAACAGAACAAAGGTCTCTATGTAACCTTTGTTGATCTCACCAAGGCTTTCGATACTGTGAGCAGAAAAGGTCTATGGCAGATTTTGGAATGTTTAGGTTGTCCCCCAAGTTCCTTAAAATGATCATCTCACTTCATAAGGATCAGCACGGCCAAGTCAGATATGGTGATGCACTTTCTGAGCCCTTTCTAATTACCAATGGTGTGAAACAAGGCTGTGTTCTTGCACCAACTCTATTCACAATCTTTTTCAACATGATGCTCCAAAGAGCCACTGCAGACCTCGATGATCAGGATGGTATTTACATTCGATACTGTACTGATGGAAGCCTCTTCAACCTAAGGCGACTGAAGGCCCATTTTTAAGACCTTAAATCACCTTGTCCGGGAGCTGCTTTATGCTGATGACGCCGCCCTTGTCACCCACAAAGAAGCAGCTCTGCAGCATTTAACATCCTGCTTTGCCGACGCTGCTGAGCTCTTTGGTCTGGAAGTCAGTCTAAAGAAGACAGAAGTTCTCTATCAACCAACACCTCAGGAAGTCCCCCATCATCTCCATATCACCATTGGCCAATCAGAGCTCAAATCAGTCCAGCAGTTAAATTACCTAGGCAGCCTCATCTTCTCGGATGGTAAGATTGATGGAGAGATCGACAACAGGTTAGCAAAGGCATATAGAGCTTTTGGAAAACTCCATAAAAGAGTATGGTGTAATAAACACTTGAAGAAAAGTACCAAGATCAGTGTTTACAAAGCCACTGTGCTGTCTACTCTTTTATATGGATCTGAATCATGGGTCATCTACTGCCACCACCTGCGTCTCCTAGAATGTTTCCATCAATGCTGTCTCCGCACAATCCTTAACATCCACTGGTTAGATTATGTGACCAGTACATCTGTTCTAGAACAAGCAGCAATCACAAGTATTGAGGCCATGTTACTGAGAACACAACTGTGTTGGACAGGACACGTCTCAAGGATGAAGGACCACCACCTCCCTAAGATCTTGCTCTATGGTGAACTTGCTACTGGCTGCCGCAAGAGAGGAGTCCCGAAGAGAAGATACAAGGACTCCCTGAAACAACATCTCAGCCTTGGCCATATTGATCAACATAACTGGTCTACTCTGGCCTCCAATCGGGAGACCTGGAGACACACTATGTGTAACGCTGCTGATGCTTTTGAGAACGCACGCAGGATCACCCTTGAGGAGAAAAGACAACGCAGAGAGAATTGTGTCTTGTGGAATATACCACCTAAGGAGTCTTTCTGTTGTGCCTTTTGCAATTGGACATGTCTGTCTTGCTTAATGTGGATAGAGCCTTTCCGAAATCTTCGTTCGCGAAGCCTAGCCATGACAGTTAATAAAGTGAAAGCAGACACCTATATTGGGCTCTAGTTCTGAATTGCTTTGTGGAAAGGGCTGTTTTACTCCACAGAATACAGAAAAAGATGAGGAAGAGTAGTCTCCTAATTAGAGGACAAATTATAGGTGACATGACTGCTCCTCTACATTTTTGCATCTTGAACAGGACATATTAAAAATTCATGATTTTTGCTACACTGTTAAGTATATATTTGAATGTTTATTTAGCTTCTGTTTAACAAGGAAGAGGACATTCACAAAAATGTTTTAAATTCTGAAGTCTTTATCCCATTCTCCTTTTAACGGAATGATAATTTTCTTCTAATTATAAGCATGCAAACTGGATTGTTTGAAAAAATTTAGATTTTGCTCCTTGCCTTTAGATTTTATTCTTCTCTTTCTTCCTTTCTTTTTCTAATTTAATAGAGTGAAAAAGGAAAAGAGAAAAGAAAATTACACAAATATATTAATTGTCTTTGACAGATGAGACAATTTTTGCACAAATTTTTGTTTTCAAAAAGTCTGTTCCCCCTTACAACAATAATAATAATCTGATAAAACTTCCATGAGTTCTGTTTAGTATAGACGGGATAGTCTAAGGGTGGCCTCTTGATCTAATGAAAATCATAGCATTTTCTAACCTTGTATAGTATTTCTATGGTAATGTTCCTGAATATACTCTAATACAATTTTGCATATGTATACATCAGTCATTATGAATGGCTATTGTTTATTAACAGATACTATTCAAAAACTTACTTCTGTCTTATGGCTGGATTGAAATTGTCCTCTCAGCTCCTGTGTTAATTCCACATGATTTCTATTTTAAATTATCTAACTGGTCAAGGTAGGTGATTATCCTGCTCTAATCTGCACTGGTGAGACCTCACCTTGGGTACTGCATGCAGTTTTGGGCACCACAGTATAAAAAAAGACATTAAACTATTAGTGAGCGTCCAAAGAAAGGCTACAAGGATGGTGAAGGGTCTGGAGGTGAAGCCTTATGACAAGTGGCTGAGGTCACTTGATTTGTTCAGTCTTGAGAAGAGGAGACTGAGAGAAGACCTCACTGTGGTATTCAAAGTCCTCATGAGGGAAAGCAGAGAGGCAAGTAATCTCTTCATACATGTGACCAGTGACACGACTTGAGGAAATGGCATGAAGCTGAGCTGGGGAAGGTTTAGGTTAGTTACCAGGAAAGGGTTTTTCACCCAGAGGGTGGTAGAGCATTGAAACAGGCTCCCCAGGGAAGTGGTCACAGCATCAAGCGTGCCAGTGTTCAAGAAGCATTTGGACAATGCTCTCAGGCACATGGAGTGATTCTTGGGGTGGCCTGCATAGGGCCAAGAGTTGGACTTAATGATACTGATGGGTCTCTTCCAACTCAGCATATTCTATGATTCTATGACTGTGATAACTCGCAGACTTATTTGAGCCTAAATGCATTGTACTGTTTGCTTGGCATCATTGTAACTGATCTTTGAAAAGTGATTTTTGTTGATTTCTTGCATGTGGCTTCAAGAAACTTGTAGACTTCCAAAATTTTCACTTGTCAAGCATGTATGCTAGGTTTCATGCTGGGAACTGGTACTCAGTGTCAAACCTATTTCTCTTTTTAGTCATCAGATTTTTGTTTTGCTTTTTTTTTAGATTGCGGTCTTTGGTAAAGCAATTAGAGAGAGGGGAAGCTTCGGTTGTAGACTTAAAGAAGAATTTGGAATATGCTGCGACTGTTCTTGAGTCAGTATACATTGACGAAACTAGGTGAGTTAACTCCAGACATCAGCACTCTTATATCTAGTACCAATGACACAAAATTGTAACTTAAATGTCAATTGGGAAATATGAGCCAAGATTTATTACTGGCAGAAAATATGTTTTTAATCATTACAATATTGTATTCTGTGTAGAGCAGATCTTCAGTCCTTGGTTCAAAAGCTTTTTTAAATTTTGTGGGGCAGGGAAGGAGATAAAAAGAAATCATAAATGTAATATACATTCTCATGGAGAAATGTTTTCATAATAATTGTGTCCCACTTTTTCTGAAAGTTTCTAAATTCCTACTAATTTATTCTTTTTGAATAATGTTAAATCTTTTCGCTTGTATCATATCTTTGAAATTAAAAAAAAATTTACTCCAGGTCATGATAGAGGTAGACTGGTAAGACATTGCAGAGGAGTTCCTCTTTCTGTTATATGCCATTTATCCAGTGGCAAATGCACTTGTGGAGTTGCCACGGATGATCAGAATGGGAAAGGAGAGGACTGTGTCTTACTAACTCAGAAGTTAGAAATGACCATAAATTACCTCTGAAGGGCAGAAAGTTTGGAAATATTGATGAGCTGAAGATGTGAAGTCAGTGAATGATTATGTAGCTGTGCTTCAGAAGGCTGATACTTCTTGTTTGTCAGCCTAGTAGTGAGTTTTACAAAATGAAATTTAAGTATACAAGAGAATAAACAAACTGTTGAAGACTTATATAATTGTGTTTGGTTAGGGATGATAAACCAAAGGCTTTTAACAGCTGCTTTAGTTAGAATATATGTGAGGGGTTTTTTTCTTAATGATGTTGTAGTGGTCTCTAAGGGAGTCTGTTTACCGATTGTTCCTCACCCTTCTAGGCGTTTACTGGACACAGAAGATGAACTCAGTGATATTCAGTCTGACTCTGTGCCCTCAGAGGTCCGTGACTGGTTGGCTTCTACCTTCACACGGCAAATGGGGATGATGCTCAAAAGGACAGAGGAAAAACCCCGGTTCAGGAGTATTGTCCATGCAGTGCAAGCTGGGATATTTGTAGAAAGGTGAAGTAGGATGTAATTACTTTGTTCTAGTAAGTGCCCAGGTACCACAGATTTTGCACAATTACAGGAGGTGGAGGACAGTACCTTAGGGCAGAAGACCTCAGAGAACTAGTAGGTTACTCTATTGAATGAAGAACACTTTAAAATGCTTCTAATGATGTTCCTACACAGATTTGGATAACACCTCAAAATCTGGGATTAAGTAACAGATTGCAATCTGAAACAGTTCTGTTTCATCTATTCTTAGTATAATACAGCTGTAATAGCACAGTTGGTGTAATTTTGACAGAGAATATGCATTTCTGCATAGTCCTTGGTCAGGAGAGACAGCATTCAATATTCAGTCAGGCCAGACCAAACTCCCCCTTGGCTCTGTTTACTTCTGTGGTCCAGTATTTCTCATGAAGAACTGCTAAGAAACAAAACAAAATCCTTTATCATAGTATTACTGGAAAGAACTATAGATCAAGATTGACGTGAAAATTTTAGAGTTCAGGGGGATTTCAAAAAAGCCATTGAGTCCTCTTAGCCTTCCCCATTGTGATTTACATCAGAATCTGTTGCCAGAACTGATTATGTTTTCTGAACCCTTTAAAACATTTAATCATTTCAGTTTGGACTCACTTCCAATCTTACCTTTTCTTATCAAGTAACAACTCTTTGCTGACTCCATTCAAGCTAGAAGGAGGGCTGGCACACGTGAAACTGTCAACAGTCTTTAGACGGTCTGAAAGACAGCAGCTCCCAGATCCCTGGGAGAATTTTGTAACAGCAAAATTCAAGTCAGGAATGGAAGAGCAGAGCACTAACTGTTCATCAGAATTGCAGTGACAGCCTAACAGCCCTCTGTGCAGGAGGTTGGGTGTATCAGAGAGCAGACCACAAGCCACACAGATACACAGAAGCCTCCTTCGGCATGATTATAGCCAATATTTTTATCTGTGCACCAGTTACTGTACATGTGTTAAGAGTGGCAGCAAATTGTGATAAGCATAAACCTGTCATTTTTCCTTGGAACAGGTTTCTCCTAGGTTTGACAGGCTATTTGTGAATTAACCCTCACTCTTAGTGGGGGACTTGCTTAACAAGGAAGTAAATTAACTGCTGCAGAATAGGCTGTAGTAGGCTGTTTTGCAGCTGATCTGAATCACCGTGGCCCAAAGGAGATATAATGTGGCGCCAGAGGAGGGTTGTGGCTCTCCTGAGCTGAGGGAAAGGGATTTTGCCTGAATTGTCACTTAAGAGAAGGCTGTGGAGCTTCTGACTTGAGGGAGGAAGGGATAAGAAATTTTGTAATTTGAGGAATGGGTGAATATAATTCTTTTTTCAGGTCTGAGTACAGAACATGACAAAGAAAAATGGAAGTGAAGGAAGACTTTGCACAGCATCATTTCAGATGGGAGAACCTTCCATCATCTCCTTTTACTCCAATGATGCCTAAGGGCAAAAAAGGATGACCTGTGAAAAGGCTTTTTAGCTATGACAATGCTTCTGCATTCACTAAGCCTGTTAAACACAGTGTGCCCTGAAAACAAGTTTAAAATCTAGTACATACTTTATAATCTTTTTAAAATATGCTTTATAATCAAGTTTAAAATCTGCTACGTACATGGTTTTAGTATGGTTACAGATGTTGATTTTTGCCTTGTTCTTTCTATCTTACTCCCTGAAACACACACATGGGGTGAACACCAAAAAGGTTTTATACTAATCTTGACAACATACAGACAAAAGTAACAGCTGTACCAAACTGGAGTTGATTCATTGCATACAAATGATTTCTGAGGAACATTCAGAATTAGCTTGCGTGTGGGCCAGCAAGGACTAAGGGAACTGAAAGATCAGTACAGACACGTGCAATGGAAAATTGGGAACATCTTGTTATTTGAGTGTAGCCTTTCCCCCTGATGAAGACCTTGTATTGGCAAATTCTTTGTCATGGCCTGCTGGGTAGCCAAGCTATGAGATAATGGGGAGCAAATAGGCTCAAATTAGGCTATACAATAAGAATAGTATAGAGGATATTGTGCAAGTTAGGAACAAGATGGAAAGAAAAAAACCAAATTGCAGTTAGGGTTTCCTGGGCTAAATAAGGTCTCCTGTAGTGGTCTGTTGTTTTATGATTTTTGTTGATTGCTTTATTTTGTTTAATTCTATTTATGTGTTGCCTTATCTATTTTGTCTTGGTAGAATGTACAGGCGGACTTCAAATATGGTTGGCTTGAGCTACCCACCAGCTGTAATTGGAGTGCTAAAGGTAATCCCAATAAAAAGGTATTGAAAGGGGGTCTATACAAATCATAAGATAATACTGTGATATTCAACTTGATAAGAGAGTCTTAGTACTTGGCCTTTCCTTCTCTCTGACATTAGTTTAGTTCACAGACATTAATCATTTAAGAGACCTAAGGGAATATCCTTTCAATAAAGGAAAGAACAGATTTCAAGGCTGTGGCCATTTTCAGGTTGTGAAGGTTACAGCTCTGTTCTAGATTACAGTGATTAAATCAAGGACTTGGGAATTAATCACAACATCCCACAGGGAAGAAAGAAAATACAGATGGAGAGAGGTGGAGAAGGAAAAGGATCAATTGCTGTAAGAGAAGGGAATTTCTCATGCTTCAGGTCTTCAAGGTGACAATCAGTTTATGAATATTGACCCTTTTATGAGTTTTGAGGTTTCAGAGGAAAAATGATTAGTCATAATTAGTCTCAAAAAACCCCAAAGGTTCAGTCCATGGGACAATTGCAAAATTCTTGACTTAGACAGGAATTATCAAGACTACAAACAGATGTTAGCAACCAGCTGCCTATACAGCTTTGCAGATTACATGTTGCATGTGGTTCAACCATGCCATGCAATGGTGAAAAAAGGTGATAAAGTGGGGCAATACGCAGTGTAAAGCTCATGAAGACATCTTGCTGCATTGCTCCACACTGGAAAGACTTACACTTAGGGTCCCAAATCCTTTTCATTACCCTCACTCGTGCAAGTGGAATCTAAATTCTTTGTTCTTTTGCAACTACACTCCAACCAGCTTATGAGGGAATATATCTATAATGGCACCTCTTCTCTCGAGTTCCTTCAACAAGACAGTTGAAGATCCATCAGCTACTCTCAGTTGACTTAAACCTTACAGAATCCCTCTCTTTTTTCTATGTTTTCAAATGATTAAGAGTCATACAGAGAATTGATCATGCTAGAGTAAGTTAAAATAAATCAATAACAACAAACTAATTTTGCTCAGGGTGAAATAACACCCACTTGGCCACTGTGGACTCTAGAATGTATATTTTTCCAAAACTGTTGTGAGAACATATTTTTGCCTGGCTGGCTTTGGTTTTGGTAGTGGATGTGGTTGAAATGGGAGTTACTTATTTTGAAGAAGGCAGAAGAGGGTCCCCACGGAAGTGGGGTCCCCAAGCCTGCCAGAGTTCAAGAACTATTTGGACAATGCTGTCAGGCACATGGAGTGACTCTTGGGGATGTCCTGTGCATGCTAAGAGTAAGACTCAATGATCCTCATGGCTGCCTTCCATCTCAGTATATTCTGTGATTCTGTGAATTTTTCTGTCTTAAAAATTTCATCTTAAATTTCTCAGTCCCATCTCCTCCATTGAAAATGTTGTATTTTATTCCTTGCTTTGGTCCAGTAAGGTCTAGTAAAAAAACCTTACAACTACCTGAGTGCTTATTGTGCTCTGTAAAATGACCTGATGATTTAAGCATGCAAAAGGGTGTAGGAGTGTACCACACAGATCTCTTCAGCTGTTCTGGATTGCCATAATCAACATTCTCCTCAGAGTCTTGTTAATAAGTACAAGGATTGAGATGGCATGAAGTCAAAACAAGCTTATTTTTGAACTGCATGCTCTCACTTTTGCTGCTATGGCCAACAGGACATCTGCACTGAGTAATACAAACCTGTGGAATCACAGCTTTGTGGCAAACTGGGGTTAGTTTTAGTAAAACAATGAAATACTGCTTGTTGACTTATAAAACAAGTCTTCGAGGTTAAGAAGAGACAGAAAGTCGAGAAACTGACTTTAAAAACAATTAGTGTTTGTCTTCATCTCTAGGTTCCCCGAAGCAGTGGATCAGTGGCCAAGTAATCAGGACACAGGACTGAGTAGTATTATGTCTAGCATCTATTTTCTGTTACACTACAGTTGTCATATGTGACATAAGAGCATCTTATGCACTTCCGCTGAGGCTACAGGGCCAGTAATCTAGCATGTATAGAACAGAAAGTTTCCCTTGCTTCTCCTGCTCTCCTTAGGGAGAAGAAAAAGTTTTTCTCCTCTGTCACAAGTCATGTGTGAAATTATCTCTGCTTTTAGATCTCTCCCCAGTATAGGGGTCACTTCTGTGTTAAAATTTTTTTAAGGTCATAAAATCCACTAAGTTTCAAAGTGTAACTGGTGTTGCTGCAAGCCTATAGACCATCTATGACACTTTCATGCTTCTGGTAAGAAGATTCCCCCCCCCCCAGTGATTCGGAGTAAAATGCTTCTGTCATTATTGTCCATAGCAAAACTTCTCTTGACTGACAAGACCAAGGATTTCTCCCTCAGTAAAATCTAAACAGCTCTCCTGTGAAACTTGTCATCTGTATGATTAACCATCCTTTCATGCAGAAGAACAGTTCAGATGTGCTAGTCTGCAGTTTCACAATTTGGTAAATTTTATCTGCTGCAAGACTACAACATTATCTGCAAGGAAAATACAATAAGGGAACAAACTCCTTTTATTTCTACAAGATAATATTGCCTTACAGTGAATTAACTTTCAGCACAGTTGACGCGTTATTTTTATGTCTTATGACCCAGAAGCAAATTACTATATATATGCAAGTTTTAAATTAATTTGCTTCAATGACCAAAATAAGTGATTAAAAAATACAAATGCCAAAAAAAAAAATGGAAAACACTTTAAATTGTCCAAGTGGTTGCCTTGGGCATTATTTTTCTCTCTCATTTCTATTTCTCGTTTTCTAAACTTGTTCAAGGGCTTCTTGGTAAAACTTTTTAATCTCTTGGTTGTTTTTACTCTCCAATACCTAATGAAAGTGTTGAAAAACTGTAATTTATGATTGCTTTTCTGTGACTTGGGCCACAAATCATCTCTGGAGAAGCTTGACACTGCATTCAATCTTTCAGCTCCTCAAAGCTTCTAATATCAGCTGCTCGGCAAGCAAGTAATTTACTGGGATAGGTGAAAGAAGAGCTGAATATTGAGCATTCTTGATGTTCACTCGCTAATTAGCCTCTCTGTGGACTGTAGTGCCACAACAGGTATACTGAGCTCTATCTGTAATCAGCACTATGTGAGTAGGAAGGATCACCTCATGCTGGAAAGAGGCGGTAACAAAATATGTTGGTCTCATTCAGAACAGAGGAAGTCCAGTAGCTATATTGATGTATAGTGGGCCAACCATAAAGTGATTAAAATGTCTTTTGCATTTGACTTGAAGGCTGGTCTTGTGCCAGATGCAGCTACATGGTTGATCTGTATATCATTCTACTAGCTGTAACTCCCATCTGCATCTCTTTGTTGTTGGGATGAGAGAAAGTTTCTTAAAGTTTCAGAAACATCCAATTCTGAGATCAAGGAGCTTCATCTTGCTAGATAATGAGTGCTGTCAGCTTCCATGGCCTTCCCTAAAAGTTGATAATTGAACTTGACCTTCTGCAAGAAGGCTTATACCTTATACTTTAGCTTTATGAGCTGGGAAGTGAACTTTCCCCCCTCAATCTCTTGATATTAATGCTGATCACGCTGCAGCATTAATATGTCATTTACAGATGATTGGAACTTTCCCGACGGTAATTAGGTATTTACTCTTCTATTATAAAGCTTGGGTTTTTATATAATTGTTAGCACATAACGTAATATTACCAGGATTTTCTTCTGCACTGTAGTTTTTTTGAAAACTCCACTGGACTCAATTACCTTTTTAAAAAAATAAGGAAAATTAGGATCATGTTCTTTGGGCAAGTTAAGATGCAATAATCACAAATCAGGATTAATATTCAAATCAGAAGCAATTAAGTTGCTCTTTGGGTCTAGCAAGATAGTCTTTAGTTATCATCTTCGATGACTGAACAGTAAGTGATAAAATTATGAGCTCAGGTGCCTGTATTTTTGTTTTACTGCAAAAAACCATATAACCTTATTCTGTTTTAAACATTAGTGAGGCATTGGAATGCTTTGCTCACAATACAGAGTTATAAGAACTCAAGAGGGACAGCAAAATCCAGAGGCTTCAATATCATTAAAAAAAAATCTTCATTATTCCTCTTTTCTTCAAAATTATTTTCTTTTTTATAGACATAGCATGTGGGTAGAGGACAGGGAGAGGTAAAATCAGCCCAAATAGGCCATCTCAATGTTTCAGGTACTAAAGCACACCAGAATTTTTATCTATTAGGATTCATCCTTTGGTGATTAAATTCTAGTGTAGAGAATTGCCATGTTTAGAATAAGCAAACAGCATACATGTTCTTAATGGAAGCTTCCTAAATGCAAGTCATACAATACTGATGAGTATACTGATACTGTGAGTATCCTGATAATTCTGCATTGATTAAATGGAATTGAAGAATTTATTAAAAAAGAAAATATATGCTGACATCACTTCTCTAATTCTCAATTTGTAGATTGTGAGAGAAAGTGAGAGAAATTGAACTATGATGATAAAAGGGATGACCATATTAATTGCCTTTTCTACCCACTCTTGCAGAATGTTGACAAGTGGTCCTTTGATGTATTTGCACTAAACGATGCCAGTGGGGATCATGCACTGAAATTCATTTTCTATGAACTTCTCACGCGCTATGATCTGATCAACCGTTTCAAGGTCAGTAGTTAAAAGATGGTTATTTTCTTCCATCCTAGATTTTGTTCAACTTCCCTCTCATCCTGCTTTATTCCATTCAAAAGGCAATTTTAGTGCTCTTTGAAGATTTTGTGAACACTGCACTTTCCTCAATAAGCAAGACCAGATATGATTTAAGTAGTACTTTCAATTGCAATGGGACACCGTGAAGTAGATGGGTTTCCAAACAGGTTTCCATGTGACATCTGTGGGAAATACTGCATGTGATCCTCTCAGAATGATGGTGTCATTTTCCTGAGCTTCATAGGACCCTCAAGTATGCAGGCACAAAAAGAGAAGAGATCATGAATGCAAATTCAAATTCATTACGATTAGTTAGGCCAGCAAGTGATTGTGCTTCCTCCTCCACTCTCATAAGACCCCACCTGGAGTACTGCATCCAGGTCTGGAGTTCTCAGCACAGGAAAGACATGGACCTATTGGAGCCACTCCAGAGGAGGGCCACAAAAATGATCAGAGGGCTGGAGCACCTTTCCTATGAAGAAAGGCTGTGAGAGTTGGGATTGTTCATCTGAAGAAGAGAAGGTTCTGATGAATGTTCATTCCAGCCTTCTAGTACTTGAAAGGGACCTATAAGAAAGATGGGGAATAACTTTTTATCAGGGCCTGTTGCAAAAGGACAAGGGATAATGATTCTAAACTAAAAGAAGGTAGATTTAGACTAGATATAAGGAAGATTTTTTTTATGGTGAAAGTAGTGAAACACTGGAACAGGTTGCCCAGAGAGATGGTAGATGCCCCATCCCTAGAAGCATTCAAGGTCAGATTGGACTCTGAGAAACCTGATCTAATTGGAGATGTCCCTCTGCTCACTGAAGGAGTAGGTGGACTAGATGATCTTTAAAAGTCCCTTTCAACCCTAACTCTTCTATAGTTTTGTAATTGTTACAGAGGTTTGCAGATACGAATGTTATGTGTCTTTTCCTCCAACTTTGAACAGGCTTAAATTTGGATGGCAGAAACATTGCCATCTAGATCTTGACCATTCCCCTCGCACAGATACTCTGCTGTCCCTTCTTTTGACATTTTCATTTCCAATTCCCATGGGTCCCCATTCACTTTGGCTGGAAAGAGTTTACAGGTCTTTGGGTCCTGTACTTCAGAAACTGCCCATGTCTGATGAGACATCTTTGAAGAAGGTGTCTGATCAGAGCTGCATTCTCTGCTTATATGTACCCAAGAGGACAACAGCAGTGCTCCTCTATGGAAACAGTGAAACTGGAGAACCCATGTTGCCCATGTTGCCGGTTGCATACATTACAACCGACAGCACCTGCATAGTCTCTTCTCTAGAAATCCCCTCAATTGCATTTTTTTGGGTGTCTGCAGTTACTCTTGGAGTCAGAAAAACATGGCAATCCCATAGGATGGACAGGTTGGATTTTGCTGTGAAAACCTAGAGGTCTGATAAATGACTTGCTATATGATGTATTTCATTAGAAAATCTTGAATGTGAATAGTAAAGCAGAGTATTCCAGTGGGTTGTGAAGGCAACAGACAGTTGCTTGTAGCCTATTTAGAAATATTTCTCCAGGGACAATCAATAAAGTGATCACTGCTACTTTTCATAATCCATGTGTCTTCCAGACAGCACTTCATAGTATACTTATTTCTGTGTGTTTATGATTTCTGTGTGTGATTTACCTATAATGTAATTATGAATGGAAAAACCAGGTTGAAGTAGTAACCTGAATTCACTCTCTCTCGAGTACCTGTTTCAGATGTTTTAGTGTTTTGTTTATTTGTCAAGTAAAAACTGCTCTTTGGAAACCTCTTATCAAAATACTGCTCTCTGAATGCTAGTCATTAAAGCTGTTTTGTTTTTTTTTCTTTAATTCTGTGATGCTTTACTTAGATTCCCATTTCTGCCCTGGTGTCCTTTGTGGAAGCTCTGGAGGTTGGCTACAGCAAACACAAAAATCCTTATCACAACCTCATGCACGCTGCAGATGTGACACAGACAGTCCATTACCTCCTTTTCAAGACAGGTGTAGTGGTAAGTAAAGGACTTGGCATCCTCAATATATAGTTAGATTACAACAGTTTTTGCTTAATAATGAGATTGTGATTATCTGTCGCAGTTCGAGGGGTTTCTGGGGGGTCACTGCTGGCTGCTCTGTGAAGGTTTTCAGGGCTGGAATCACCCCCCCGCCGCCCGTCCCTCGTGGCAGGGACTGGCGGCGGAGGTACTTAAGCCAGGAGACAGAGACCACGCAGAGAATCCAGCAGCGAAGAAGAGCTTTATTCAAATTTCCCGCAGCTTATAAGGGCTGCTGGGCCAAGGAGGGGATTGGCCATTTGGCTAGCCAATGCAAGGAGACAATATAATAACTATGGCAACACAGAAACCAATGGTAGACAGGTGAGTTAACAATTTCCAAACCCCGGCAATTATCCATAGTAGAACCCATTTGCACTGTAGACAAACTTCATTTGATATGACTGGGCTAATAAAAGTAGAGACTTTGGATTATTTAGAAATTGAAGGTAGGTGAAGTTGTCGATAACTCTTCTAACAGTGATCTAAAGAAGATGAATGAAAAACCTGAGCCCGGTTTTTCACTCTCCCACAGATCTCCTGTGTGAATCTGCCAACACAAATTTATTGGAATTCGTTTCACCTAATATGAAGGATCGTATTGTCTAAGCTGTCTTCTTAATTTAAGCAATGGAGGCAGTACATCCAAAGGATAATTCATTCCACTTATTTGAGCATTAAGAGTTGTAATCTGGAAATGCTGATCCCCATCCACTTCTTTACAGCAAAACCATCTAAACTGGCTTACATAGAAGCCTACGAACAGCTGATATCTGACAACAGTGTCAGGAATGGATAGAGGGCTTAAAAAAATATGTAGTGTGCAATATGTTCCCACAGTGGTTTTCAAGACAAGCAACAGAAATACATTTGAAGATGGACTAGAGAAACTGAAGGCAGATAGATTCCAGAGTGATGATCAACCATTGCAGTTTGGATTTAGCTGGAGGCCCATAAAGTTTCTGTCCCACACAGTGTACACTTCTTCTTTCTCCTGGTTACTGCTGCAGCCAGAAAGAGGAATGAAATTACTTCCAGTCTGATCCTGTGGGGCAGATCTGTTCCTCATATTATTTGCTTCACTTTTTCCAAGTATCCAATTTTCCCTTGCCCTTGCATTCTCAGAAACGTAAAGGCAAAGGTGGCAGTGAAAAGGAAGTTTGGTGTTCAATGTTTTACAGTTATCTCTTGTTACAACATGGCATTCAGTGGCTGCTGTGTTTGTGGCTGATACTTGAATACATGTAATTCTGTTCTGTTGTGCTTCCTTTCACTGTGGTCCTTCACTAACTCATGTGCAGTTCCAGAGGCAAGGAGCCTTTGAAGTTCAGAGCAGACAGGTGAACCCAGGTCAGCAGATGTTGAGGCTCTTGCTGAAGCTCAGGGCTTCTTGAACACTCCCCAGTTGTTACAAAGTCTAACTGGGAACTGTTGAAAATAAGGATGAGGGAAAATCATGGTTCCGTGTGACTCAGCCTAACCAAATTCCAACACTCTCATGCCATGACTACCTTAGATGGACTATACAAAATTACCATAAAAGTTCTCTGTCACCATCACTTGTGGAGATGTTTATGTCTCCCACTGTATGTTGATGATGCCTTTATCTGTAGAGTTCTATAAGACACCTGAAGAAATCTGCCACCGATTTGTACTGTGTGATAGAGCATAGGACAGAGAGGTGCAAGCTAACAGGGCATAGTACAGCTCTTGCTGTGTCTTTTAGGCCAGTTTCAACAACTGTTTAGTTTGCTCACGCTTGGGAGCAACCTTTTGTGCATATGATCTGCCTTTCTGCAGTTTCTTGATTGCCACGCAGCTGTTGCCTTGCAATTCTGAAGCCAGACCTGGATGCTCTTCCCTGAGTTCGGTTTATTTAGGTGGAGATCCATGAAACACACTGGTTTGGCTTTTGTGTATTAGCCGGAGAAGTTTGCTTTAAAACAGCTGACAGGCTGCAGGGGAAAGGCAATGATGTGCAACATTGACTGTCAACAGGAGATAAATTGCCTTAAAAACCAAAAACCTTAATGCCTGAGAAAATGACAACTTACCTGATTCCTCTGTAATCTCTTTTCAGCACTGGCTGACAGAGCTGGAGATCTTCGCTATGATCTTTGCAGCTGCCATACATGACTATGAACACACTGGAACCACTAACAACTTTCACATCCAGACACGGTGAGGCCACTGTAAATCATGATGAAGGGTTGAGACACGGAGGAGGAAACCTGTGGTGAATAACAGCACACCTAGAAAAGTGCTGGAACTTCTGTTTTCAAGTGATACAGGAGGAAAGTTCACTTCCTTAGGTTGCATTCAATTTTCTCTTGTTCAGCCATTTACAATGGAATGCATGTATTTTAGCTTTCTGAGCATTGTTTCACATAAATGATGAGGAAAAAGAAAGGTCCCAAAATATTTTTGTGTAAGGGTGGCAAAGACAAATTGCTGTACAGAGCAATTTTAATGTATTATAGTTTTGAAGGAGATACTGTAATTTGACAATTTTTTTCTCCTTGTTGAATTTGAAGAATCAAACATTAACTGCATAAATCAGGCATTCAACAACATTTGTTGTATTTGTCAGTGAACACTACACAAACTATTTTCACTTGAGTGGAAAACCACACCTGCAGCAATGGCTTATGTTGGCCATTACCTGATCAGGGAAATATTTTTTAAAAGCTTTGTAAATTGCTAGACAGTAATTAATTGATCACAAACTAGAGTGGACCGGTGTATTTTATAAGGCTTTTGGGTTGGTGGAAGAAAGAAGAAGATAAAGGCGGCAGCAAAAGTCAGAAGTGTGCAAAGATTATGAAATCTCTAGTTGCAGTGATAACTGGACATCTAATATCTGTGTATTATTTTGACAATAGGAGTGTACTGGTAGCAATGACAAAATGTCTAGATGTCCTCAAATGACCCTGTACACTTGGGCACTTCTAAGGTGCGTTTTATCTTACCCTAAATTATATGTCTTTAGTGTATTAGCTGAATCACGCTGTGCATCAACAAGTGGTTGCTAAGATAAGCACACGTATGTGGAGGAAAGTTTAGGAATGTAGAAAAAAGTTTCTGTCTCTATTCTAGGCCAGACTGCACTCCACTGGTTACAGCTTCATCCATGCAAGAATTAGAGATCTGCTGTATTTCCCAATACTTATAAAAGGATTAAAGGAAGGACAGTTGTAATTTAATTTCTGTAATAGTGAACATCAGAGGGTGTAAGGTGTCTGAGGAGAAAAATATACACTGTTCTCTGAGAACCAGGTCTGAGTGGGGACTGTAACAAATCATACTCATCCTCTGTTGCCATTAACTTCTTTGTCTTCAGGCCAGTTTAGCTATTCATCTATCACAGATCTCTGCCCTGGGGCTTAAAGTAAGGCATGAAGTACCTTTGGTCTTACTCTGTCCCACTGCCAATTGCCTTTCCGGACAACACAGTCTAGCACATGGATGTCAGAATGCAATTCAGTTATGTCTTGCCTTCAGCCAGTTTTCTGTTCTGGACACAATATTGGGTCACATCTTGCAATTGCTTGCTTGGGTACAGTCAGGCTTTAATATCAGAGCAACATACAGAAGAACTGGAAAAAAGCCTCATGGTTCAAATTCCAATTTACGCATCTCTCACAGCTTTCAGCACTTGATTTCAAGTATGTAACAAAGCAACTATTGAATGTCAGCTGGTGAAATAGATTTTGCAGCGAGTTTTGATCTTTACATTTCTTTTACTGAATAACAGCAATTAACAAAGTATTACAAATGTTCTTAAAATGTGTGTACCTGTTCTGTAAACTTAATTGCTGCAGCTGATCAAAGGAAAACTTCTGAATGTGAGACTGTAGACAGGAAAGAAACAACATTTCCTATGTTTTCTTTTAAATGCTAGGTCAGACTCAGCCATTCTATATAATGACCGGTCTGTGCTTGAAAATCACCATGTTAGTGCGGCGTATCGTCTTTTGCAAGATGATGAAGAGATGAATATTTTATCTAATCTCTCAAAGGATGATTGGAGGTAAAAATTAACATGGTGACTGCCTAGGAATATTGCAGCATCACCATAGACTGCTATTACCTTGTTTGAATAGCGATATGCATTATTGTATATTACGTGTTAATATTTCTATGCTACAAGGTAAAGAACTTTAAAAGGTGTTTGTCTTGCTTATTTCTGCTTTCAGTTTTCACCTCTGATACTGAAGCTAGACTTTTTGATGATGCATTATAATACAGAAATTGACTCCCATCTAATTTCTAAGTATCACAGAGACACTCTTTGTACACATCCATTTTTGAGTGTAGAGCTAGCCTACTGTTTGTTCATCCTAAAGCCTAAACATAACCTTTATCTACTTTGACACTTCCTGCCTGGAAATTATAAATGGGACTAAAGAATGAAATAATCCAGTCCTTGGAGTATAGATCAGTCTACTGTATGTGTCAAGGTGATGTAAGAAGCTGTAATTTAAAATAAACCTCAAGAAATACATGATTTATGTGCCAAAATCAGCCCATGATTTCCTTTCTAATACCAGACAATTCAAACTGATAACAGTTTTCTGTTTTTATGGGATCTTTTGAACTTCAAGGTGTGATACTTGACAAATAGCCCATTGTGCTAGACAGAAGGAATCCTGCTTCGTAGTCTTTTTCAAGGAGGGGGACCCTATGTAACACACAGTGCCTTCTGCATATGCTTAAATGTGACACAGTGTTGAGTAATCATTTAATCTTGTATTAATATAAATGTGGGGAAATGAGCCCTTCTCTGGGGCCTGGGTTCTAGTAAAATGGTCAGTGACGGCTCTGCTTGCTAATCTGTTTAGCCTGAATTTCCTGTTTATTTTAACTTGTGGACAGTGATGTGATCCTATAGCTAAACACCAAGGATAACACTCAGGAACTTAGATGGCTAATTTCAGTCAATTGTGAGTGTTGTGAAGTAGTGGCCTGAAAATTCTATCCCCCAATATGGAGAATAGTCTCATAGTGGGCAGTAAAGAGGAAAACAAAAAAAAAAATACCTGCACCAAGGTGTTAAAAATCTCTTTTAGCTACAGCTGGCAATGCCTAGTCAAATATCAGCAACCTTTTATGTTGGTGGGGAAACATAAGGAAACTAACTAACTAGAAACATCAGCCTTAGAGCCACTGTCTGCAGGGAATAGCCACTGTTTACAGTGGAACAGCTAATTGAGTATGCTTCATTGCATAGATACTGCCTTAAGGGAAATGGTCTGCTTTCAGGCTTTAAACTGTTATTGATTGAATCAAAGCCAGCTTCAGATATTTCTCATTGATTCTATAGTGCCAACATGTGTGTCCTGTTGATGCAATGTGCTTAGACCCAAAGTTTCAAGTATTAACTTATCTCTTTAAGAAATACTGTAAGTGGCTGAGCAAAAATATTGAGTGATTTGGATTGCTTATTTGTTCTCTCTCAAGTAGGGCTTTTGTATTTTATAGCTGCTGATCAAGCTGCAGAACAAAAACCGTTGTTTGGAAGGGCTCTAATTAGAAAACATTGTGATTTTTGCATGCTTTTGCCTTTGACTGCCAGTATTTCATACAATTCCCATAGGCAAACATTTGGGAAGCACTTGTAAACATCAACTGACTCAGCAGATTCTGAGGTGTTGGGAAAAAAACCAAAAAAGCCTAGAGTTTTCCATTTTGGCACTCAAAAATAGGACACTCAGTACTGAAGAATGCTTTGGAAAACTAATAAAATGTGTCCAAATTAAACTTCACTTTTACAGACAGACCTGATAAATCTCTCTCAGCAAAAGGCCCTGGTAATGTTTTTTGGAAAGTAAATTCTTAAGTGCCTTTCTGAGCTGAACTCTGACACCTTTTTTCACATTACTAGTAAGAGAAAATCTGATGATCAGTGGATTTTGCAATCCCAGATATCTATGTGGATTTTATAACCTTTATGGAATTCAGTCATCTAGTTAGGGAGTGTATTTTTAGGAAAGATATGCAGAAAATTGGAGATACATTTCACTGTTGGAAAATAAATGGCCACAGGTTCTGTAAAAGCGGATGAGAATGGAAGAGAACTTTTGTGTTACCATCAAGAAAAAGAGTTGAAGTCTTACTGGTACTTAAACTACTTTTTTTCCCCCTCCATTTTAAAAAAACCTCTGGTGCTTATTAAGTATTTGAAAATCACTTGAGTTGCCTCATTTCATGAATCCCATTTGTGCAAGTTATCAACAAGTTAATGAAGAAACTATTAACAAAACCAGATCACAGTGAGCTAAGAAAATAAACTGCAAAGTGAACAAATGCCTTCCAAGATACAGCTATAGATATCTTTTCTGGCACTGTATTTAATTGCTAATAACTTTGATGCAGTTTATTAAAACAGAGCTCTTTACTGCCAAGTACAGGAATAAAAAGGTGTCTGGAAAATCTTTGTTTGCTTAGCTTTGTATGGGAGGACAACTTTGGGAAGTAACCTTTAATTCAATACTAACTTTGCCAGTAAAGCTGCTTGGCATTTTGTCCCTCAAATAATTCTGAGCCCTCTTTGTTAATCACTGTTATTAATTTCAAGATTGTGGTGAGAAACCATGAATTTTTTTTGACTGAAGACAACTTTGGTCATACTCTTCTTTTGTAAGTATAAGCGTGTGCATGGTTGCATAATCATGCCCTTTCCTTGTAAATTTTTGTTCCTTTGCATTCAGGATGGACATGTGAATATTCTGAGTGTTATACCTTTAGTGAGAACCAGCCAATGATGATATTTCCTTTAATGTGTTTTCCTATTAATTTCTGTAATAATAAAGTGCTGAGGCTTCAACCGGACAAAATTATCAAAATAGTTCAGTTCAGGAGATGTTGTATGGTGCACTAAGTATTTTTGTTTAAGCCTTTTATCAGTTCCTGTCATTGTTATCACACTTCAGCTATCTGTAGGTTTCTATATAAACCAGCTGAGCTGGTTTGCTCTAAAGAGTTGGCAGAGATCAGCATCTCCAGATCATGGCTCTTGTTTTCTCAGATAGTAAGTGTAATGAATTATACTTTGAATTATCTCAGCTAGATGAGAAACCTGAAGAAATGCTGCCACCAGTTTGTACTGTGTGATAGAGCATAGGACAGAGAGGTGCAAGCTAACAGGGCATAGTGCAGCTCTTGCTGTGTCTTTTAGGCCAGTTTCAACAACTGTTTAGTTTGCTCACGCTTGGGAGCAACCTTTTGTGCATATGATCTGCCTTTCTGCAGTTTCTTGATTGCCACGCAGCTGTTGCCTTGCAATTCTGAAGCCAGACCTGGATGCTCTTCCCTGAGGAGTCGCATGCTCCAGTGCCTCCTGTAAAAGTCCTGAGTCTCCTGTGTTGCATGTAGACTGCACCTGTGAATTGCAGTCACACTTAAATTAGAGCAGTAAACACTGCTGTTTATCAGAGGCAGATTTGGAAGGAGTCAGGCCCTATCTGTCTCAAGAGCTGATTCAGACTGCCCAATTCTGATGGAAGTTGTGTCAGTTGCTCCTGATTGTGCCTGAAATAAAAAGGATTTAGGTCAGATTTTGCAGCTAATACAACTGCCTACTCAAAACCTCCCATGAGATCCTAAACTGGTCACTGTTGTTTTTAGGACCGTTAGTTAATGAAAATGCGCTGCAGGGTGTAGTCAGTAAGAACAGGTGCAATATGTACATTGAATTAATGGTGAGGAAGTGGATCCCTTTTTCCTCCTCAAATAATGGAAGAAGGACAGTGGGTAGATTATAGGGGTATAATGCTCCTTCCTTTCTCATCAGCTTGCAGGATTTCTTCTTTTCTTGGGTACAGTTTTAAGTTACCTATTTTTTAAAGACTTGGACAACTTTTCTGGAGTCTAGTTATTTAAGAAATTACTTGGGACAGTTAGTATTTGAGTGAATTAAACTTTGATCTTCATGAAATTCTTCCTGACTACAAAACTGGGTTTGAAAACTAGGGAATGAAGGAGAACAAGATATTGGAGAAATACCGGGGGAATCTCCGACTTTATAATCTCACTGGTAAGTGAAATGAAGTGAGAGCTGAATTTGCGTGCTCTTTCACAATATGTCGATATTTATGAAGCCCAAGTATCCAGCACTGTAGTTTTGCACAATTTCACGGCAATGTATAGACATTTGAAAGTGGTGCAGTCTCTTCTCTTAACTCATTCTACTTTGAGACTGTCAAATATATTTTCTAAAAATAAAAGAAGTGGAAACTGTTTCAGTTGACTTGCTTTTCCTCTGCTTTTATATGCTGTGCTTCTGTAATAGAAAGGTGTTAGTCCAGATGAAAGACTGATTCCTCTGAAGGAATGTCATGTACAACATTAACAGGCTTTTGTGCATTATTAGAATCATTAAATATAGTCCAGAGATGCTTCAATGGAAACACCACTTGTAAACAATATCTGGGATCTATTTAGCCAGGGCTGCTAGACAGCATGCAGACTGCAGCACCATAATGTGTTGTGTGGACTTTGAAGACAATTGCAGAAACAAAGTGCTAAAAATGGTCAGAGCAAAAAGTAACAGCTGTGTGTACCAGGCTCTAATCTGACTCAGATGTGAAACCAAGAAATGGATAAACATATATCTGTGATTCTCTCGGTAGTGAATTCAGCATTATCTCGACTTAGCAAAAAATGAACAAATTTATCATCCTCTAGTGTTATGTCTTTTGAGATTTTCTCTCATGCATTCCCTATATCCACACTTTTCAAAGTCACCTGCTGTTGTGATGCCTGTTATTTGAAGTAACAAATAAGAACTCTTCAGTAGTAAAATCCTTACTATCTCTGAAGTATTTGTCATCTCTGTTTCAGAGGAAATAATGTTCTGAAGTATGTGCGGAGTTCAGAGAATGTGCATATTCCAGATTTGCATCTATGAAAGGGGAACTAGAATGTGTGTGCTTGTAAGCATATATACATGCTTGAACTACAGTCAGTGCCTCATTTTCCTGAACTGAGTCCTTTGCTTTTGTATTCCTTCTGCAATAAGCTATGCACAAAGTAGCCCATGCAGACCAATATGATGGAGTTGCAGTCCAGAGGATGTAGTGAGAAGTCTGCTGTTTCCCAGTGCTAATTGTTCCCACAGAATAATCACACCCTTTTCTTGTAAAAATGTGTTTCTATGCATTTGGGTTCTCCTTGTTTGTATTGACAGTGAGGTCTGTGCTGCTGGGAACTGACCAGGATTGGCAAAAAAAAATAAAATTAAAAATAATTTAAAATTAGTTGCTTTTCAGCCACCATATTGTTAGTCAACATACATGTTTAATGTAAGTATATGTAACTATAAGACATAAAAGATATCTATATCTTATATAACTGTAAGACATATTTTTATAGTCAGCAACAGTGTTGACTATGCAACTGATTGTACTTCGAGGTTGGGAGGAGGAGGTGGTTATACTGGGGGAAGAGTGAGGCCAGCTGATGCCATCAGTGTGCAGAACTCCTGGAGATGCGGAGGCTGCATTATGTGCCATCCATGGGATGGGGTAAGCACAGAAGTCTTGGGTCTCTACACATTGGTGACCTGGGGCTAGAACTTGAGCACAGCCACTAGAGGCAAAAGAGATGTGATCAAAGTAGACTACATCCTTCATGAAATATTTATGAAAAGGAGAATGGTAGCTTTTATTTTAAATGAATGGTGACCCATTTCTGAATCTTACAAAACCTGATCTGATATGCCAACCTTGGACTGTTCTTCCTCTTTAAACCTGTGGAGAACTGAACTGAGAGAAAGAGAAAGTAAATTTGTATTGTGTCTAGATCAGAAGGTTCTGATATTTAAAAATGTTTAGGACATCCATATCATCTTCAAAAGAATTTCATCTGAAGTCTAAATAAGTGTTGTGGTTAATTAATAATAATACTAATGCTGCTGCTGCTGCTAATAATAATAATAGTAATAAAATGAGAGAGAAATAACCCAGGAGAAATGAGTGATGCACAATAGCATTGCTCACCATCTGCTGACTGATGCCAAGCCTGTCACCAAGCAGTGGTCAGTTACTCCAGTTTGTATACTGGACATGTCGTTCTATGGTAAGGAGTATCCGTTTGGCGTGTTTGGTTCAGCTGTCCTGGCTGTGCTCCCTCCCAGCTTCTTGTGCACCTGCTCACTATCAGAGCATGGGAAACTCAAAAGTCCATGATTTGGAATAAGCACTATTTAGCAAAAATGAAACTATCAGTGTGTTACCAACATTATTCACATATTAAATCAAAACAAAGCACTGTACCAGCTACTAAGAAGAAAATTGACCCTATTCCAGCCAAAACTAGGACAGCAAGTTTTCTTAACAAAACTTAATACAGGAATAGTTTCAATTTATAATATCAGGAAAGTAGTGCAGGTTCTCAAAGGTCTTTAGTTCATATATGCATCATAGTAGTTTTTCTTTTAGTAGTGTGATTAAACTTTCAGCATAGGTATCTACCAGTTTTAGTCAAGTTCACCTGATTCCGAGGCTTCCATCTAAGAATGCCCTATAAAAGAAATCAATTTAAGAAGTTTGTGCTTAATTGAGAAAGCAGTACTAATACCAATATGCTCTTCAAAAAACATCTAGGATTTCTCTACCAAGGATCAACCACCTGGCTTAATTTGCAGCCCTCCCACTTCTATGTTTGTATAGAAAATCCTTCATCCTCTTTCCCATCCCTGAAAGAGGGATAATAGAAAGAGTTACATACAAAGGCATTGCTGTCAAAAATTTGCAAATAGACAACAAAAGAAACTGGAGTTTGTCTGATGCTGGGTTTTGTGCTTCTCTTTCCTTGCTGCTCTCATTGTGATGCCATTCGAAAGAGAATTCAGAGCTCTAGTGATTGAGATGGTGTTGGCCACTGATATGTCCTGTCACTTCCAGCAAATCAAAGCTATGAAGAATGCTTTGCAGCAGCCAGAAGGGTGAGTCACTTTACAGCACAGTGCAGTGTGGGGCTGCATTTTCAGTGGGAGCTTTGCCATTGTGTTTAACTTCAGAAGCAGTTCTCCAGAGGCTCTCACTTTCTCTGATGTCCCCATCAATTTTCTTTCTGCTGTTGAATTTATAATGAATTCACTTAGGAAGGCATTGGCACACATCTCTACTCTGTGCTGGTGGACCAAAGCTTGGAAATGTTCACCGTTGTTGGGAAAAGCCTCACTGGGCATTTTCCTGGTGGGTAACACCAAGGACATGATTCAGTTGAGTCATCTCTACAGATTAAGTATGACACAAGGTTATAAGATCTGCAGAACACAACTTACGCTTTTGCCCTTCTGCCGATGCTATCAGCTGCCAACTCTGCAAGGGGCCTGCTTTATAACCAGAGGACGGATGAAAACAACTTGAGATCCACTGAGGGAACAACTGGAAAATAATAGATGGAGCAGTATGGGAAAGGCCTTTTCTTCTTCCCAGTATGTCACTGGGAGCTGTGATATTTTGTTTACAGCTCTTCCCCTTAAAATTCTTTCTGTACAGCACAAAGTGCTGAGTGATGGTCCATTTTTCACCCTGGACAAACGTCTGTCCAAAGCGTCCCAGAATTATACCTGTATAAGAATTTTATACCTGTAGCAGACCAGAGTGCGACTAGCCACTTGGTCTTCTCAGAAGCTACAACTCTTTCAACTATTTCAGATAGCCAAAAAGTGGAATTAAAAAATGAGACCACCCATCCTGAGAAAGCTTTTGGGCTAGCCTCTTAGGTTATGGTTGTAAGAAATCACCAGCCTTTTTTCTGTGAAAACAGATGCCAGGTTTCGTTTCTGATCTCATACTAGTTTTCTATCAGTGAAACATTTATCAGTTACTGTGTAGACTCATCAGAGCCCCTGAGATGAGATCCTGATTGTTCATTACAGTATGATGGTAGGGAATAGCTTCTCTTCCGAGCTGCATAAAATGCAGCCCAGATGAAATGGGAAGCACAGCAGCTCTTCAAGCCTGTTAGTGCAGACAAGCAAGCCTGGAAAGTTGTTCAACAAGGCTGAGCAACATTTCTTTTTGTATTTTTTAATGTCTCTTTTAAAACAGGAATGGCGCATGTTGGAGAAATAAGACAGTCGTTCAGAGTTGTCTGACTTTATGAGCAGAGAAGTCACTTTATTAATATGCTGGCCAAGGATTCTAATTACCTTATTTCCCTGAAGGTAACATTTTTGTCATTGGCCCCTGCAGGAGTAGACAATTAATTTGTTTAATCTTTTGGGTTTTCAGAATTGACAAGCCGAAAGCCTTATCACTGTTGTTACATACAGCAGATATCAGTCATCCAGCCAAAGCTTGGGATCTCCACCATCGCTGGACAATGTCTTTGCTAGAGGAGTTCTTCAGACAGGTAAAGCCAGGGCCATTCCTTCATATTTCTGCAGCTGAGAGGGAGTATGCAGGATTGGGCAAAGAAGTAGGGAAATATGAACACAGATATTTTCCTTTTCTCTGATATATGTAAGAACCTCCTAAATAGTATGAAGCTTTCTCCTCTGGCACCAGTAACACTGGCCATTATGCCTTTTAGAAAGTTAATTTTCTGATACACTGTCTATAGATGTAAACATTTTATACCTAGAAGAAATTCTGATTTGAGAAGCTAATATATCTTTTAGATTAGGAAAATATAGAATATGTGTCACTCAGCTCTAGAACCATAAAAACAGATTTGACTAGCTGTACTTAAAGAACTGTACTTTCATTGTTGGGGTGGATATGAAAAAGGCTTATTTTTCCCTTACTTTAGGTGAAGTGAACTGATCAAGATTATAGCTCATAGTGGACCATCTGTTGACAGACCCACAAATCTAAACAAATCATTGAGCTCTGTGTGATAGTTAAAAGGTCCTCAAGTGATTAATAAAAACATTTAAAGACCTGCCTTAAAAAAAAAAGAAGTAAAGAGAGAGCTCTTAAGGAGTGCTTAGGATACTTTTCACTAATATGAATTAGTAACCTAAGCAGAAAATTGAGTGCTTATTTTCCCTCCAGAGTTCTATAACTTCATATTATATAGTAAATCTGAATGCAAAAGGGAAAAATATATGACAATTTTTAAAAAGTTCTGACAATTTTTTAACATTACGTTTGTTTTTAAAGACACTGCAGGAATCCTTTTTTAAAGAGGACATTGCAAGAATTTGCTTTGAAATTAATCTCTTTATTTGTTTTTCAAACCATGAATGGCTTTAGAGGTAGATCATCCCACAGCTATCTCTGTGTTGCCACACTGGAGACTCATGCAAGTAGGATGGTTTTAATATGCATTTAAGGGAAAAAAATGTGCATGTTTATACTTATCTAGCTCAAAATTATACTAAATGTGTTAAAATACACAACTACTGAGTCCCCTAAAGACGTGTGATGGAATTAAGATTAGCTAGGTGCGAGACCACAAAAAGTCCAAGTTTTGATCTGTTTTACACATATAAAGAAGGCAAAATTATTATTTTATATTTTTATAAGAATAATTTCATTACAACTAACAAATCTTACTTTAGCTTTGAATGATGAATGCCTCCACACTTAGATGAAGCTATGTATAAAACTTGTATTCTAGTTCCAAATTCAGATGCATTAAGCTTGTCACGAAGCATGAACTTGTGTTCATTGAAGTTATTTAGTACTAGATCAATAAGTACATCCCTACCTCACAGCAGAAGAATGCTTCTCTCAAGTTGTAATGGTTAATTTTTGCAGTAGCCAGGAGGGGACACCAAGTTTATTCTATACCATCTCATGTCATTTTCCGGGGATGGGGGTAAGGGCTATAAGGGCTTTCTTCCAGGTCAGGATAGCGTGGTGAGGGTTGGGTTGGGCTCTGCAGTGAGCATTTGCATGTGAATCATTCGCCTCCTTTTACACTTTTGTTATTAATATTATTGCTGTTACTGTTCATTTTCTTATCTCGCTGCTGTTTTTATCTCAACCTACAATCTTGACCTTCTGTGCCTCCAGTTCTCTCCAGCCTGCTGCAGGAAGGGACGGGAGGAGAGAGAGTGGCACATGATTTGGAGGTTTTTGGTGGGAACACTAAATTGGAGAATACAATTCCTAAAGCACAACAGCCTAGTTTGGCACCCAATGTGAGGCTCGAAGTTTTGAGATAAAACCAGATCTGACCACAATGGGTTGGAAGAAATTCAATCAAAGCATTTGTTGTATTAGGTGTGGAGCCACTGGTCACAATGTTGCTTGGTCTGTTCACTGGTTGTTGCTGTACTGTGTGATATCAGCTTATAATAGGATAATATCAAGGACAATGAGGGTCCTTAGGGATGTGTATTCAGTGTTGCTCTCCTGCCCTTACCCCAGGCGCTACCTTTGGGAGTCCATTAATAATCATACCTCATCTGTGGGGGGAACAGGGGAGGATGATTTTTCCCAGCTTTTCACCCCATATTCCTCCTTCAGACCTGTTACAACAGCTTTTGAGAATTTTGAATTCCCTTTGGATGTTGAGGAAAGCATATTCTTATTACTAAGTCTGCCAGGTTTCCTCAGTGCAGTCCACCACACCATGAAGTTATTGAGAGATCTGCCCGGGGTGAATAGTCATGAGTGGCATAGAATGTGGGAGAAAATGGGCCAGCTTTTGAGGGACTGTTCTGCTCCAATGGTTTGGAAGTTCACTGCTGAACAACTGCAGGACCCTGATTAAGTGGCAGATTATTTGAAAGAGGACTGATGTGGCAGCTCCAGAGAGGTGTGAACTTATGCAAGTGCTGGGCCCTGGCTACTTTTTGTCGAACACTGCTCATTACTAGACAGCACCCTCAGGGGGAAGAGGAGAAAAGCAGACCAACAGGCACTGTGGTCACTCAAACTGCAGCTGAACCAGAGAAACAACTTGTGCCAGTAGCAGAAGAAGAAATCCAAGGCAAAATCAGTTCACATAGTGAGGGATGAAGAGGAAGCAGGGCTCTCAGAACAGAAGGAAGAGGCGGGGCCAGAGATAATCACTGCATCCCTATCCCTGGGTGAGCTGCAAGATATGCAAAAAGATTTGAGGCGCCAGTTGGATGAGCCCCTGGTGACCTGACTGCTCTGATGCTGGGATATTACAGCCCAAAATATGAAACTAGATGGTAGTGAAGCCAAGCAGCTGGGATCCCTGTCCTGGAATGGGGGCATTGGCAAGGGGACTGGGAAGAGGACAGAAAGTCTCAGCCTCTGGAGGCAACTCCTGTCAAGTGTAAGGGAAAGGTATTCCCTCAAGGATGATCTAGTAGTGCCCCCAAGCAGGTGGAATGCCATGAAGCAAGGTATCCAGTACCTGAGAGATGTGCTGGAGGTAATTTGTAGAGATTCAAATGATGAGCAGTTCCTTATAGATACAGACGACATCCAGTGTACACAATCCCTGTTGTGGTGGTTTGGACCTTGGTTTTTCCCCCAGAGGCTGAAAAAGTGGTAGACCCCAAGGGGTGGAAACCCCTGGATGTTATGAAGTTTTGCCCAATGGGCGCTCCTGCAAAATGTAAACATATCACAAGCTCACCGGAAGAGATGAGTTTTAGTTTCGGGTTGTTGTTGGAGGAGAGGTGGCCATGTTGTGAGCCACGAGGTAGGGGCTCTGAGCCCCTTGGGGCCTCTGGCCCCCTCCCAGCCCCTGGCTGGGGGAAGATTGCAGAGACTTGGAACAGTCTTAGACTGGGCTAAGTGTCTGTAGTATGCTGGGAGATGTTTTCTCCATGGGCGCAGAGCAGCAGCCGGCACTGACCAGAGAAACAGTGGCACAGAGCCAGGACAGATAAGACCTGAACCGGAGAAGCAACAGAGACATGCAGCATCGCAGAAAGGACTCCTGGAAAGGGAGAGAGAGAGAGAGAGAGAGAGAGAGCGCCAGCAGCAGAGCTACAGAGTTTGGGGTAAGACTGAATACCAGACCCCAAAACTCCCTTGAGACCCCTTGAAGCCCCTCTTAGAGAAGAGGGACATGGACTCCTACTTTGGAGAGAGTTTTAGACATGCAGCACCGGAGAGAGAGAGGAGCTAAGAAGCTCAAGAGACGTCCCGGAGCTGGACCAGGACGGCCAGATGGAATGCGGGGGGAGTTGACCTTGGCTCCCCCCTCGCACTGCTGCCACGGTGGCAGCCTGAGAACAGGGCACAGAGGCCCTGCGGGAGCTTGAATCTCCTGGAGATACCAGACCGTCACGAAGACCCCCTGTGTCTTCGTGATATGACCGTGGTGAAACGACCTTGTCTGGGGTGACGAAGCCCACGGAAGACCCCTCGGTTCTGAGGCGATGGGGCCGAGAGAGAGGCTTGGATACCTCCCTCGTGAGTGCTGGCAGAAAGCCAGCCACAGCTGCTGCATGCATAAGAAGAAGAAACCTGCTGCCTTGGAAGATGCTCCTGCTGTTCAGAGACTGGAAGGGATCTGTCCTTCTTTCCCTCCTGGACTTTTATTTGGAGGGGAGAGGAGATCTGATCCATTGTAAATACTGTATGTCATGGTAGAGATATTGTGATCGTGTGTATAATGTGATATGGTATTTATCTGTACAGTCATTGTAATATATTCCCTTTCCCCCATTTGGAGTCTGGTGTGTTTTGTCTGGAAAAACCCATCTCACATTAGGTTGAGATGTGGGAAGGGGTTTAGACTAGGGGATTGGATTTTGAAGCTATCTCAAACCATGACACCTGTGGAAGAAGTTTGCAAAGAGCATGCCATTGCTGTGTATTGTTGGCATTTATGTCAAGGAAAGTAGAACAAACAGTGCTTCAGGTGACGACCCAACTCAGACAATATGAAGATCATTGTTTTTCCTCCTTACTGATCTGTGCTTTGGCTGTGGAAAGAGTGTCCAAGACTGCGGGCAGATTCAGAAGGCTCGAGCAAACTGGAGAGGAAATGTCCCATGCACCACCAGTATGGACCAGAGTCTCTGCTGTTGGGCAAGCACCCTCGGCTCGAGAGAGAGCAAACACCATGAGGTAACCTGTAGTTTTTCCTGTTTGACCATGGAGAAGACATGAGGAAGTGGGATAGAAAACCCACCTCTGCCCTAGCAGCATGGGTACATGAGTTGAAAGAAAGGACAACCACTGCAGGAAATTCTTCAAGGATAAATGCCACTCCAGTTTCCAGTGGGCAAGTCCTCAGACAGAACAACAGGCTGATATTACTTCTAATCCTCTTGAAGGGACCTCCAGTTCATATTTACAAGAAGTGAGCAATGAGTACTAAGACCAAGACTAAAGGGGCCCTGCCTCCAGCCAGGTGGAGGAAAGGAACTGTGTGGATCTGATGACCTGACACATCAGACCCACAAGAGTATATATAAGGCTTTAGCTGACACTGGTGCACACTGTACCCTGATGCCATCAAGATATGTAGGGGCAGAATCTATCTCTATTTCTGGGGTGGCAGAGGGATCCCAACAGCTGACTACTGGAAGCTGAAGTGACCCTGACTAGGAAGGAATGACAGAAGCACCCCGTAGTGACTGGCCCACAGTGCATCCTTGGCATAGATTACCTCAGGAGAGGGTATTTCAAGAACCCAAAAGGGCATCATTGGGCTTTTGGGATAGCTGTTGTGGAGACAGAGGAAATTAGACAGCTGAATACCTCGCCTGGTCTCTCAGAGGACCCTTTTGTTATGGGATTGGCTGAGGGTCAAAGAACAATAAGTGCTGCTACCACAACAGTGCACTGTCAACAATACCATGCAAACCATGACTCCATGAATCCCATCCATGGGATGATTTGTGAACTAGAAAGCCAGGGAGTGGTCAGCAAGACTTGCTCACACTTTAATAGTCCTGTGTGGCCAATGCATAAGTCCAGTGGAAAGTGGAGACTGACAGTGGACTATCGTGGCGTGAACGAAGTCACAGCACCACTGAGTGCCGCTGTGCTCTACATGCTGGAACTTCAGTAAAAACTGGAGTCCAAGGCAGCAAAGCGGTGCCACCACTGACATTGCTAATGCCTTTTCTCCATTCATTTAGAAACAGAGTGCAGGGCAGAGTTTGCTTTCACCTGGAGGGGCATCCACTATACTTGAACTGATTGCCCCAGGGGTGGGGAAACACAGCCCCACTACTTGCCATGGACTGATCCAGACTGCACTGGAAAAGGGTGAGGCTCCAGAACACTTCCAGTACATTGATGACATCATCACATGAGGCAACACAGCAGAGGCAGTTTTTGAGAAAGGGGAAAAGATAATCCAAATCCTCCTCAAGGCAGGTTTTGCCATAAAGCAAAGTAAGGTCAAGGGACCTGCCCAGGAAATTCAGTTTTGAGTAGTAAAATGGCAAGATGGATGTTGTCAGATTCCAATGGATGTGGTGTCATGGTTTGAAATTGGCCCCCCCTTGAGAGTTCGGGGGCTCAGAGGTGATTGGGTGCCAGGGCAGTGTTCCCTGGAGAGCCAATCACCCTCCATGTTGTTCGCTTCTGCTAAAAATCATATATACACAGCACTGGAAGCTGTTGGCAGTTCTGCTGTTGGTGTCTGCTGTGTGTAGGTGTAGAAGGCCAGGGGGTGGCTGGGCTCCTTCCCCCCCCCTTCAGGGGGGAGGGGGAGCCCTGTGGCCCCCAACTCTGTCTAGGCCAGAGTTAAGAGGCACCATTTAGAGTGTGTGCTGTGAAGGAAGGAATTTGCAGCACCTGAGGTAAGAGAAGAGAGGCAGGCTTTGCAGCCAAGCCCTCTCTTCCCCCTCCTTTTCTGCAGTTAAAGCTGTGGAGGGGGGCTTTTTTCTTTCCCTCCACTATAAGTGGAGGAGAGGCTCAGCATTGAAGCTGAGCCAAGAGACGGGCTGGAGGAGGTAGGCCCGGCGCTCGGGAGAGGAATCCCAGATGAAATTGGAGACAGGCCAAGAGCTCAGGAGTTGCCTGCTGAAGCTGACCGGGGGCAACCAAAAACTGACTTGGAGGACGCTTGGTAAGCTGAACTACACTGCAGCAGCCTACGAACTGAGGTATGAGATCGAGAGGGAGAGATCACATAGCAGACCGAAAAGACTCAAAGCTATCTTCTTGGACTTTGTGAGGAGAAAGACTGCAACAAACAGCCAGAGCTTGGTGAGGGGGGAGCGTTTGAGCCCAGAACACTCCCACGAGAGAAACTGCGTTACCCAGCAGCCTGAAAAGGCTCTTCCTGGACTAAAGTTAAAGGGAGGGGCTTAAAAAGACTGACAGAAATGTAATATATATATATATATATATAGCTGCTTGTAGTTTGTACAGTATATTTATTTGTGTAAATAAATGTATATACTTTCCCCTTCCCCTATAGAAGCCTCTGACCTAAAAGTTTCTCTCTGGTGTTAGGATAAATTGTGGGAAGGGGTGGGGGGAAGCCTGGAAATCGGATTTTTAGATTTCTAATGTGGCTCAAACTGCCAGACGTGGTCAACAAAAGAGCAGCTATGTCCTCACCAACCAGCCAAAAGGAAACACAAGCTTTCCTAGGTACTGTGGGGAAGATGCATATTCCAGATTACCATCAGATTGTGAGACCTCTCTATCAAGTGACCCAGAAGGAGAACAATTTTGAGTGGAACTTTTGAGCAAATTAAACAGGAGATTGTTCACACAGTAGCCTTTGGGCCAGTCAGAACAGCACAAGATGTGAAAAATGTGGCACATGCTTTGGAGGTTTTTAGTGGGCATACTAAATCAGAGAATACCATCCCTAAACCATGAGTTTGAGAACTACTACTAGCCAGAGGGGACTATGGTTGTAAGGAACTGGTCTGGTTTCGGATTAGATATATTCTTATGCTCTTCCTTAATGCTCTTCACCTGCAGACACTTTTCTGTCCTTTCTGTTAAGTGTCTTGCAGAGATAAAGCCTGACTTAACCTATATCAGAACAGGTGCCCAACCCTTTTGGTTTCCAACTATTTTGCTATGTGACATGTCATAGGTCTTCCTACACTAAGTAATCATGCTGTAGGTGTGAATGATATTGAGCACTACTGCCTTTTTATATTCAGTGGCTATGAGCAAACACCTTGCCTTAATTAATTTGTTTTACTAATGCATTTTAGGTAGCCATGGGGAAGCTGCCCAAACAGTCAAGTGTCTCTCTGAGCAGTCACAAAGGCAGTTTGGTGTTCCTTCCCAAGAGAATTAGCCACTGGAGTTTTTAAGAGGTCTAAGGAATAATGAAAAATCATGGCATTGAGAGATGGTTTTTCTGAGAGTTTTACCCTGATATTGTATATTAGACTCCTAACATAAAGCAGAATTGTTCTACAGTGGAAGAATACTATTGCTTGTTGTTCCATACAAAATTCTAACAGGACTTGTGCCCCCATTTATGGGCCCAGTATTGATTGCCAGGGTACTCCGCCTATGACAGGTTGCCAGTTTGAAACGGAGCTATTTACCACCATCTGCTGACAGGCCCCAGCCTGTCAGCCAGTTCCCCATCCACTGCATGGACCACTTGTCTATACTGTAATGCATCAGTGTCTTTAGGAGGAGGCAGTGGGAAACCCTATCAAAAGCCTTGGAAAAGTCCAGGTAGAGAATGCCCACAGCTTGGCCCACAACAACCAAGCAGGTTACTTTCTTGTAGAAAACTGTTGGTGTTGTCTTTGGAAAAAATCAATAATCTGCATCTGGCCAGCCATGGCCTATGAATTCCTTCTCTGAAAGACTCAAATTATCCACAATTTGTGTTAAAAATAAACAAACAAAAAATGCAAATAAAATCAAAGTTTAATTAAAGAAAGTAAAATGAGAGGCTTTTACGGTTGTGAAGTAAGATATAGAAGTGCAATGTGTCTTGTCCTTTTCTAATTTCATCTCAATTTTTTTTCTCTAGGGTGACAAAGAAGCAGAACTAGGGCTGCCCTTCTCTCCCCTGTGTGATCGCAAATCTACTATGGTTGCTCAGTCTCAAATAGGTATGTCCCTTTTGGTGCATGTGAAGCAGCATCTTAAAAGCAAAACTTACTCTTCCCTGTAGGGCTAAGATCATAGTGATTTCTCATCATTTGGAACTATGTTAAAGAGAAAAAATGTAGTACAATAGCATTATTTTTCCCAGATTAACCATTCAAAGCTGGGGAGCCTTTACGTGTATGGTAATGGTTCCATACATTCACCAAGTTACCTCTGATGTATCTGCAGAGATAGCTACAGTGCCTGATCATGACACTTGTTCCATAGTTTTCTGAGCTGTGAAGAATGGGTGCACATGGCAACATCGTGTGATGTGAGTGTCATTGGTGTATATGATGACCTATGCAAAAATGCTGTGTGTTTTTCAATTTATTCCTCCAACCCTTTCCTCCCAAAACTTTAAACCAACCATTATTTTTCACTGAAGCCAAGCAAGTAGCAAATATTTTTCTGTGCCACCCTTTCAGAAAAGAGATCTTTTTACAAGCGCACCAACAGCACTTTCTCTACCTTTCCTTCAGTTACTGAATGAAAAATTAGGGGAAGGATGAGGCAACAAGCCTGGCATTTGGTGAGAGAATAAGAGGGGCTAAGTGAAGTAAAACTGTTGAGGGGGCTTGGAGCAAAGAAAGGACAAGGGAAAAGGTGGATTTTTGGGTGGATTTTTATATCTAGGAAGCAAGTGAACTAGATAGAGAAACATGTTCTAATCTCAACTGGAGAATAGGTAGTTTAATAGAATAGCAAAAGAAAGATAACATGGATACTAAAATTGAGGGAATTGAGAAAGACAGAGAATGTATTGAAGGAAAACAAACAAAATATTTGAACCATGAGATTTCTCTTGAAGAACAAGACAAAGATATCCCAAAACCTAGGAAAGTGCAGATTCGTATCTTTGGCTAAGAGCCATTTCTGTTTAAAATTATTTCATTGTTCCTGGTAGGCAAGCCATTCTCTGGGGGACATCATCCCAGATTTGTCTGGCTTTGGAAGTTTAGACAGTTCAGCTAGGAATCTGAACTTGAAAAGCCCTATACAAGCCTGACCTGGTTACCAGACTTGTAGTATTTACTCCTTTGCAACAATAACCCACAATACGACTGTGGGTTGTTCTGCCAGCAGCTCAGTGGAGGAAAGCAGCAACAAAATTGAAATGCTGCAGTCTCAGCTAAAATTCATGTTGAAGACTCCTGGGCACATTACATCTATTGCTGTGGTGTGAGAGAAGATAAACCCTCTCTCTCTCTGGTCGATGTGAAGGAAAGTGCATGTAAAGGCTTCTCTTTCACATCCCTTTCAGATATGTTCCTCACTCCTTACAGGGAAGAGGAGTTGTGCCTCTCACAGGGTCTCTCTACATAGGGTTGTGTGTGCTTGGATGCTAGTTTTTCTGGTTCTCTCCTTTTGTGCTCCTTTGCTCAGAAGGACAAGGAGAGCCAAGAATGTTCTGATGCCCTTTGTGTCAAATGACTGTAAAATTAATGTTGAATTAAACCATCACTAATACAATTCCACCTTATAAAAGAGGCACTTATCAGTAGGCAAAGGCAGCCTTATTTAGTCATATACTATTTGTCATTATATTTGATTTGTGCAAGGGGTTTAGTAATCCATTGACATTAGTAGTCTACTCTTTATAAATCTTGCCTTCTAACATTATAAAATGCTCATTTCTCAGTCTGCTGCACATATCGACAGTCTCTTTCTCTAACATACCCCTTGTTAAATTGAAACCTCCTTTGTTTTCTAGCTATCCACTGAGATAAGACTTTCAAAGTTGTAGAGTAGATTCTTTTTCCATTTGTTTCTTTACCTGATTAATAGTCTTAACAAATTTTTCCCTGTAGTAGTACTTAGAACATTTATTTTCAAAAGTAAATTCTTGCTGAATTCCAAATTGTGCTATTATATGATTGGATTTTACGATCTTAAAGGTCCTTTTCAAATTTAGTGATTCTGTGATTCTATGATTCTGTCATCTGCATCAAGCAGCCATCAGTTCTCATAAATTAAAAAACTCTGTCCTTTGTGAAATAAAATTATGATTTTAGTTCTGTCAAGAACAGAGCCTAGAAATCCTACTCTGATGGCTCAACTTGTTTGTAGTTACTGGTTTGCTGCTGTAGGTTCACTGTAGATGCAACAACAGTGGACACACATTTTCATTATCAAAAATTTTCACAAAAGATTTTGGCAATATGGCCTTTTTACATGAAATTAAGGAATCTAACAGAAAAAAATTCCTCAAAAGAAAGAACATGTCCTTCATGTTGCTTCAGTTTATGAAAACTTGTTCAGAGTTTAAACTGATAAATAAAAAAACCTGAATATCACTTTATGAACTTTATTTTGAAAACCTATCAATGTTAATGATAAAGACCAATTTATCATCCTTTTTCTTATGGCAAATATTTTTGTACCATAGTGAAGATGGGAAAGATTTGTGTCCAGAAGTCAAGCTGCTTATCAGAGCGAGGGAGAGAAACAAACTGCAAAGAGAACCAGACCAAGACTTTTGTATTTCCCAACAAGAATATCAGGAGTTTCTCTGGCTTAAACTCTAGGAAGCTTGTTTCACTGAAGATCAGCCTTTGTTGTCATTGTCCACTTTTGCAGCTGATAAAAGTAGCAGCATGCCTTTATTTTTGTCCTTTGATTAGCAAAAAAGAAAATTACACCTTCAGAAAACATTGGATAGAGGCTGATGAGTGCATGCTGCAGATTTTTTATTTTTTTTTTTCTTAATGTTAGGCTTTAGGGAAACTGTTCTCTACCCAGGTTTTTTTGTTGTATGTTTGTTTGTTGTTTGTTTGGGCTTTTTGTTTGTTTGTTTTTTGGGTTTTTTTTTTATTATGTTGATGTTTGCAGGTACAACTGCAAGAGAAGTGTAGGGAACAGAACAAAGGTCTTTATGCAACCTTTGTCGACCTCACCAAGGCTTTCGATACTGTGAGCAGAAGAGGTCTGTGGCAGATTTTGGAATGTTTAGGTTGTCCCCCCAAGTTCCTCAAAATTATCATCTCACTCCACAAGGATCAGCACGGCCAAGTCAGATATGGCAATGCACTTTCTGAGCCCTTTCTAATAAAGAATGGTGTGAAATAAGGCTGCCTTCTCGCTCCTACCCTATTCACAGTCTTTTTCAGCATGATGCTCCAAAGGGCCACGGCAGACCTCAAGGATCAGGACGGTATTTACATTCGATACTGTACTGATGGAAGCCTCTTCAACCTAAGGCGACTGAAGGACCACACTAAGACCTTAAATCACCTTGTCCGGGAGCTGCTTTATGCTGATGACGCCGCCCTTGTCGCCCACACAGAAGCAGCTCTGCAGTGTTTAACATCCTGCTTTGCCGACGCTGCTGAGCTCTTTGGTCTGGAAGTCAGTCTAAAGAAGACAGAAGTTCTCCATCAACCTGTACCTCAGGAAGTCCCCCATCATCCCCATATCACCATTGGCCATTCAGAGCTCAAATCAGTCCAGCAGTTTAATTATCTAGGTAACCTCATCTCCTCGGATGGTAAGATTGACGGAGAGATAGACAACAGGTTAGCAAAGGCATATAGTGCTTTCGGAAAGCTTCGTAAAAGAGTTTGGTGAAACAAACACCTGAAGAAAAGTACAAAGATCAGTGTTTACAGAGCCATTGTGCATATTCTCTTATACAGATCTGAATCATGGGTCATCTACCGCCACCACCTGCGTCTCCTAGAACGCTTCCATCAACGCTGTCTCCGTTCAATCCTAAACATCCACTAGTCAGATTATATGACCAATACATCTGTTCTAGAACAAGCAGCAGTCACAAGTATTGAGGCCATGTTGCTGAGAACACAGCTGGGTTGGGCAGGGCACGTCTCAAGGATGAAGGACCACCGCCTCCCTAAGATCCTGCTTTATGGTGAACTTGCTACTGGCTGCCGCAAGAGAGGAGTCCCGAAGAGAAGATACAAGGACTCCCTGAAACAACATCTCAGCCTTGGCCATATTGATCAACATAACTGGTCTACTCTGGCCTCCAATTGGGAGGCCTGGAGACACACCATCTATAACGCTGCTGGTGCTTTTGAGAAAGCACGCAGGATCACCCTTGAGGAGAAAAGGCAGCGCAGAAAGAATCGTGTCTTGCAGCATATACCATCTAAGGAGTCTTTCTGTTGTGCCTTTTGCAACTGGACATGCCTATCTTGTATTGGCCTTTTCAGCCACCAACGCACTTGCAACAAACGTGGGTAGAGCCCTTCCCAAATCTTCATTTGCGAAGCCTAGCCATGATGAAGATGTTTGCAGGTGAAATGAAGGAACGCTAGTCATATGCCTGGAATTCACTCTCAGTATGCAGCATTAATTGGTAAAATGATCTTAGTCACTGAGGTGCAGAAATGTTTATCATGCTCATTCTATTGAAGGAGATAAAGGATGATAAAATGGTCATTAGCATTAATAGGTTTAAAGCTCAGGTTCATTTTTTGATAGTCGGGGTTTTAATTAGCATACTAAATCAGCATATTTAAATTTTATTATGATCTCCATTTTAAGGTAACATAGTTGAAAAACTTATTCATGTTGTAGGGAATAGAGGGAAAAATTTCACTTATCAAAGAAAAGTTCTCTTAGGTATTTGAGTTTGTTTACCTGTGCCACCTCTGCTCATCTTTGTTGATGAGTTGCAAGACTTCTTTCAGGGAAAACCTGTTTCTTAAACACAACTAGATTGTGTTTGTGTGCAGTTGTTGACTATCTGAGGAAACAAATCCCAACACCTTGCTGCTGAAGTTAGTGATGTAGTCATGTGTCTGGTATCAGAGATTTGAGTCTCTTAGGGTTGTTAGTGGTGATGGAGCAAATGGCAGTGGTATTACTTGCTGAGCAGAATAACAAGGTACCGTGGCTTGGGTTTCTTTGCTCACTAAGAGGTAAATAAGTTTTTGAGGGGGAATAGAGATGTATAGAGACAGACACACAAATATATGTAAATCAAGTTCTTATTATCCTTAGGATTCCTGTGGCACACTTAACACTGTTCTCAATCAGTAAAATTTCCAGTGCTTTAAAAAATTGTATAAAGCTTGCTGGGATTATCTGAGTTGTCATCTAGCATACAATTTCCTATTCAGGCTTTATGCTACATACATTTTTGATTAACTACCTGGGAGTTGAGTTCTTTTTTTCCTAAATTTGAGTAGATAAGACTGACTCAGTGTTATGGAGGCACAGTATTCAGATTTTTGGATATGACCGAATGTGTATTTTCTCCAGATTTACAGAATGTTACTTAGAAGTAACATTTTTAATTTGACCAGGCATGAAAATGCACTTAATAATCCATTCTTTTAGAAATTTAGCAAAAATCAGGGAAGGGAAATTGAACTAGAAGGATACTCAACTGCTTTGCACTTGGGATGTGGATCAAAGCATCTGTGAATTCAGGTGCCTGAACGATGTGGTCTCTTCTTCTTTTGTTGTTCTGTTATCACCTAGAATCACCAGTGCTGTAGAAACATATAATGATCAAGTCAGAGAAACTACAATATTATTAAGGAATAATAAATACTTGATAATTAACAAATCTCTGAAAATTGTAACAGTAGGGATTTGTAACAGTAATAACGTTACCAAAAAACATCTGGCAACAGTAATTGTAACCTGGATCCCAATGTGCCTTATGAGAGATTAAGGACATCATTGTTTTCTTGGCTACCTGCAACACTAAGAAATTTGCTAACTGAAGTGGTAAAGGAATTTAGGAAAACATGTAAGGTACTGTAAGCTCCTCACTCTCACATTTGTCCATGCAACTTGGATTTTCATCCATCTCATGAGCTTATGGCCACAGGGCCCTTCAGTCTGCTCTCCCAGCATTCAGATCAGAGCCATATTCATCTCTGTCAAGCTGTATGATGAATTAGAAATTATTTGACCCTTTATTTTTTTCCTTTACTTATTTTAAAAATGTGGGGAAAGCATCTAAATCTGTTTTCTTATCAACAAGAAAAAGCTGGCCAAGCACTGAGGAGAGGGTATTCACAGCAACGTGAATGCTGATGCGCAGTAAAGGACGTTCGTGTGTAACTCCACACCAGCAAAACTTACTGGTATTATTACTGTTATATTTATTTTCTGCTTTTAAGAATTCTTCTTTGAAACTGGAGTTTATCCAAAGCTGCTAGAAATTTGACTTCAATATCACACTACTCCTCATATAAAACAAGTCTTGATGAATCTTTTGATGTCATGATTTACCACAGTTTCTTGCCAGTATTTAAGTAGGTATCTTTTATTGCATGCTGTATCCAGGCTCTTGGGCCAGGGATTAATATATAACTCAATTTCCTCTTTTTATTATTTGCCTATCTCTCTTTCAAGTATAATATTTTACACTGTCACCTACAGTGTGGTTGTCTGTATTCACTGAAGCAGGGACTCTGCATAAATCCTCCTCTTGCCTGCCTGGCTCTCCTTATGTTTCTGCTCAGGTTTCATTGATTTCATTGTGGAACCCACTTTTACTGTGCTGACTGACATGACAGAGAAGATTGTGACTCCACTCATCAATGAAGCTTCCCACTCTGGCATGTCCGGATTCAGGCGCTCCAGGTGAATAACCTTGCACCTTCCCCTTCACTCTGCACATGCTGCTATTGCACTCAACTCCTGTTTTCCTCCACTACAGTATATGTTTTCTATGTGGCTTAAAGACCCATATCCGCATTGCCAACACTACAGCTCATCTTGTGAGGTGGCTTTGTGCCTGGGGGAGGGCAAAGAGGTAGGGTGTCATGAACCTGAGTCATGCCTCCAATGGCAGTGAGCACAAATGGTTGTAGCCATGCAATCAGGTATACTTCAGTGCTCTCTCAGTCACTAATGTCAGAGAGAAGGTAAATAGAGTCATTGGAAGGCCCTCATTTCTTCACATCTAGGAGTATAAATGGGATTGAAACAAAAATGATGACTGGAAGGTATAAGCACACTCTTGTGACAGTATTGTTATGCAAATGTGTGAAGAACCACCAGAATTCACCTGGAGTTCAGGTGTAGAAGTCTTGGCCCATTCAAACTGTATTATAGAGATACCGCTCTTTTAGTAGTTTATTGACAGGGCACGTTTTGGGATTCAAATGCCTCATGGCTAGTGCTCCCTAAAGTAGGGCTACCCTCAGGGTTCCCTCTCCCAGGTGACTTCTTTACTCTTGGGTGAACAAAGAACAGGCACTTATATCTTTCTTTGTCGGTAACCTTGTTGCCTTTATTAAAATGTGAACAATGAAGCATCCATCCTTGAAAGACAACTGTAGGATCTGTAACCGAAACGAGTGCCTGATTTCAGCCTCATCTGAGGTCACCAAGTCCTGGACACAGGTGGATTTCCTGTCCTGTACCTCAGTGAATTTTAGGAGACTCCTCCTCTGACATATTTTATTTCTAGAATTGTCTTACTCTCCAGTAATATTTAGGGAGTGGAGATGTACAACAAAAGTAGTGACAGCACTTTGACTGATTCTATTTCATAGTGACCATGGATACCAAAAAATAGTCAGAGAAAGCTGCCTTTTATTTCTAACAATGGCTTGGTTGTGCTCTTTGCTTTAACATTGATTGACCTGGGGTGGGACAGGAGAGAAGCGAAAGATAAGGGATTCAAGCTTAATTTTTCCTGGGTGACTCTGTTATCTGACTTACAGCTGTTATTTCTTCATAGTTGTATTTGAGTGTACAGGATACTGATTTCTTCTGTGTTTTGTGATATTGTGCCCCAGCCTAAATAACATTAGTCCCTCCGAAGTTAAAAGATCAAGTGTCAAGAGCACTGGGTCCGAAGGAAGTGCCTCACTTAACTGCTCCATACTCACTGTGGACTTCAAATGTTTTAAAGCCACCTGGACTGAGGTGGTACAGCAGAACAGGGAGAAATGGAAAGCGCAAGCCACCAAAGGTAACAACCAAGCTTCTTAGCGAAAGAATAAAAATTCTTTTGACCTCTTCTTCTTCAAGCTCTTCTTCAATCAGATTTTTCTCCAAGTAAGCACTGTTAGTTCAAGAGAATCTGCTTTTTGAGTTCAACAACCTACACTGTATTCAGAAGGATAGGAATATTGTGACTCGTCTGTGCCTTATACTTGCCTTATTTGCTCTTCTTAAGAGTACCTTATACTCTTCTTAAGGGTGTCATATACACTTCTTAAGAGTACCTTATATTTCTTATGTAAGTGTACCTAATGAAGAGGATATGGACAATGGGAGGGAGAAAAGTTGTGAGGGAGTTCCCCTAAAGCCATGAATCAGACTCAGGGTGGTGCAAAAATAGCTGGAACAGTATTTGTAGATATAGGTTATCAGTAGTTCATTGTTAAGGTTGAAAGAGGCATGGATAATATTTCAGGGGAGAAGGACAATATTCTGAATTCATAACTGGTTTCATATTTCTGGTGATAACTTGAAAAATTAATTGGAAGCTATGCTGCAAATGCTTGTGATGTCATCAATCTGGGAGAGACTGTAAATATTTCAGAAGAATATGAGCGTTGTGTTGGTTAAATGTTGACCAGGGTTCAATACTCTGATGCAGTTGAAAAAAAATCACAACCACCATCCCACCACCACTGAAAAAAACCCAAACCTGACCCAAACCAAACACACACACTAAAAAAAAAAACCCCAACACACTTTAGTGAGACTCCTCTGGCATTCTTCTCATCTTTCCAGCAGTAACAAGGCCCTCAAAACCCTGCTGTGCCTAGTTTTGGCCACTGCTGTTCAGGAAACATATGGACCAATTGTAGACAATGCAGAGTACAGCAATGCAAATTATGATTACTTGTCTATAGCTGAAAGCATTATAGGTGTATAGCTGAAAGCATTTTTTTGAAGACTACTTCAGCTGAAAAATAAGGGAACTATTTTTTTATTCAAATACCCTGGGCTGTTAAGAGGAGAAAAAAATTGTCAGGTTATTATAAATGTTATTATAATGTCTAATAAGTTAGACATTAGCAAATCTCTGTTATTGGAGTTCTTTTGGAAATAATGAGAGCCATCTTTTGAGAACGATTTAGTTATAACTGCCCCTTACCTCCAGGGGCTGGATGATTGCCCAGGGTCTCCTTAACCCCTCAGGTGATTTTGGAACCAAAAAAGGAGGAATGTTTCAACTGTTTTTTTTTTCTTTATGAAACTGGGATGCAATTTATTCTGTGATCGGAATGGTTATTACTCAAACCCTGTTTTAATGGAGTTGTTTTATTTCATGTAAATGGAAACAGTTTGATTTTAATGTTTCTAGGTGTGTTTAGCAGTACAAATATACATATTTTTTTAATCCTGGAAGAGTTATACAAACATATGGCTCAGCATACCTTTCTATGTTCTGGGACTCCAGAGCACTTTCATCAATATCTTTTGCTCAGCTGCTGTCTTGCTCCTGACTTGCAGCAATTTTCTGCACTCTGGGTCCATCTGCCTTGGCCTTAGTCTTATGCAGCAAGGCCTGCCACTCAGCAGGTTCTGAAATCGCAGACCCTTGCCAAACCATTGTCAAGATGCACTGCCAATAAAAACAGTTACTACTAAGAGAATACAACATTACCTGTTAGTTGACAGCAAATAGCAGTTGGGGATCAGAAGGGAAGGAATCTATTATTGTTACTTTTGTAGCTAATATTATTATTAAATTATTTGTACAATGCTCTATTTCCGTTGGTAACGGCATTGTTCCTAGAAGCCTCAGTGAGCAGTTTTTATCCTAAGTGTGGTATTTATAGAAAATTTCTCATACTGTGTAGGCAAAATAAGTGGGTTTATTACTGATCTTTTTTACTTAAAAGATCATCATTAAATAGCTACAAATAGCTATTTAAATTTAATCATCATTAAATAGCTACAAAACAAACACCCTGATGTGCAAAGCACTATTTAGATAAAGTATTTTCTAACACTGCTTTTGACAAGAGGAGATCATCCAATGGTATTGTAGTCTCCTGAGACAAATTTCTCTCCTGCGGCTCAGGTGTAAAATATAACTTTTTTCAGATCCTCAAATGAGAGGAATCCTTCTGTATGCAATGGGACTCTGAAATTAGCTCAGTTGGTTAGAACATGGTGCTAATAACACCAGGGTCATGGGTTTGATCCCTGTACAGCCCATTCACTGAAGAGTTGGACTTGATGATCCTTGTGGGTCCCTTCCAACTCAGTATATTCTGTGAAATCTATGAGACTCCAGAAAAAATACCAATATGTATAGCTTAGCTAGCACAGATTTCAGGAATGATTAGTGGAGTGAGGAAGACTAATCGAATTATGTTTTTGTGTGAACCATAATTTATTAATTTAAAAATTAGTTTACTTTATGTAGCTGCTGACAAGGGAAATGCACATTGGCATTTCTTATAAGGACAGCTTTCCACTTTTGTACCCCATTGGTACATTTTTCTTAAAACTGGTTCTGATTCAGTCATAAGAAGTATTTGACAATGTAATTTTTACATACTGGCCAAGATCCTGCTCCTGTAAGGAACAAAACATCTTCCTTATACATGTCAAGAATACTTCCCTAGGACTGAGGTAGACTTCACTCAGCGTTTTATAGGATCTGCTCCTCTGTTTGTCAGCTTATATAGTCTCTCAGAAAACAAGAGATACATCTGTGGATTCTTATCACAATTAAAATCACTGCTTGATGGGGTCATAAGGAGTAGGCCTGAATATTCTCAACCCAATAATAGGTTGGTTACATCTATGTGCTAGACTCAGTATAGATACAGTTATGATCTGAGGCTGCATAAGCTCACAGGTTTCAAATTGAGTGTGTGCTGAGCTACTCATCTGCTTTTGCAGATTAAGTCTCTTGATCATGCAAAAGGGGAAGAAAATTATGGATTCTCTGCCCAGAGTTTGTGCACACCCAGTCAGGTTTATTAGTTTGAGGGCTGTCTTGAGGGACTGTGGCTGTGTTCTGCTTTTCAGTGGGGTGCAGGAAGCCAAACAAAGCCCTTGCAGCTGAGTCTGTTGGGGAGTGCTGTATCTGTGGGCTAGAAATGTAGTGGTCTCTATACCTGAAGCAAAAGTAATTTGCAACAAGTCTTACAAGTAAGTGTTACAGAAGTACCTAATGTTTGGATGAGAACAAGAATAGTATCTTGGATGGAGGAAAACGGCTTCTTCGTGATTTTTTTTTTTTAATCGAATGACATTATTTTGAGGTGCTGCTGTTGTTCAACATTCACTTTTGAATTTATACCTTTGTATATTTGTGATTCACTGTAAAACTTTTGGGGATGGCATGGCAAGCACTAGTAGCAATGTATTAGTCTACCAGGAAAGGATGGAGCCATAAAGAAAGGATAACTCTAAGTGGAAGGGAAGAGATAAAGAAACTGGCATTGGAAGCAACCTGGAACAAGAGGGAGAAAAAGTAGATATCAAAGAACCAAGACTTTATGTGCTTAGAGTTAGCTAGTACAATGTGAGACTAAATGCTGTTTGACTCTTGTGTGTCAAAAATGAAAATAGCTTTGGCACCCCTAGAGCCTTCAGTAGTTAATATCTCTTTTTGCCTTTTAAGAATTTTGTGGAACCACTTTTTCAAAGGTGAACTTTATATGGTAAAAAAAGGACACACACATAATATACATTTAGGCTAGCCTGGGATATTGTTTTCAGAATACTTTGTTAAATGTTCTCCTGTGCTCTTTTTCTGTTGTCGGGTCATTTCCTACTTTTTTTAAGTAAAAGCTGTTTGTATGTGAAATACTGAAGTAGATTTAGATGTGAGTTGTCAAATTGACTGATAGTTGCAATTTCTTTCCTTGTTTTGCTTCTTTCTTTGCTGAAGATGCAGAAGAAAAAACTAAGAAAGAAGCAGAGGAAAATGCCTATCAGGGAACAGATGAAAAGGAAAGCGAAAAGGATGAGAAGCCAGCTGAAGATACCACAGCAACAAATACAGAGAACAGCAAAGAACCAAATCCTGGGGAAAGCAAAAGCACAGATTGCAGTAAAAATTCTGTAAATGAGACTCAGCAAAGGGGCATGAACAAACACAAAGCCTCTCAAGGGAAAAACATACCTGGGACAGATAAGGGAACAGACTCTCATCACACAGTGGGAGAAGAGAAACAGCATGTCCAGAATGGTGAGTTCTCTCCTTCCACTGAAACATAAATCCAGCCCTAAAACCAGTATCTCACCTTAGTGATATCCTGAAAAAGGATGTTCTGGGGCCAGAGTCTCTTCCTGTGTGTAGGCATAGTCACCTGCATATGGAAATCAGAAACTGTATGTTAACTTCTGAGTAGCATTTTTCCACAGAAGATGGAGTTCATCATGTCTGCCTGGGCACATTTAGAGGAAAGGAAAAAATATTTATCTCATGCAAATGAAGCAGCCTGTTATGATACAGAGTTTTGAAAGCTGAAACAAATATTCTTGTTTCAAAGAACATCATTGTTTGGGTGGAGAAGAGCACAGAGGAGAATCCAAAGTTGGCTTATAAACTCATTTTAAAGCCAATTAAAGGCATCTTTGATTTGAGTCTCAGATATAAATATGTTTTCAGGCAGAGGATTTTTCTCCTCTCTTCTTTTAGAATTTATTTTATCTATCCTTCTTTTGCTGAGTTTTCTTTTAATAAGGATAGTCACAAGCCTTCATTTTTTTTTGGGGGGGGGAGTTTGACAGAAATTTTATTCCAGTGTTTTAACTTGCTGTAGAACTGAGTTAAAATAAGAATCTCATTCTTCACCCAATAAAGGTGAAAAAATGTTTGAAAATTCCATTAAACATTAAAAAAAATTATTATACTGTGGCAGTTTGAGCCACATTAGAAATCTAAAATCCAATTTCCAGGCTTTCTCACTCCTTCCCACAATTTATCCCAACATCGAAGAGAAAACTTTCAGGCCAGAGGCTTCTATAGGGGAAGGGGAAAGTATTTACATTTATTTACACAAATAAATATACTGTACAAACTAAAAGCAGCTATATATATATCATTACACTTCTATCAGTCCCTTCGAAGCTTCTCCTTTTAACTTTAATCCAGGAAAAAGCCTTTTCAGGCTGATAAGTAACCAGTCTCTCTCTCATGGGAGTGTTCGGGGCCTCTGAACACTCCCTACCAACCTTCAGCTGTTTGCTGCAGTTCTTTCTTCTTCATGAAGTCTAAGAAGGTAGCTTTGAGTCCTTTCTCCTTTGTCCTGTGTCATTTCTGCTGTGTGATCTCTCCCTCTTGGTCTCATACCTCCGTTCTGTAGGCTGCTGTAGTGTAGATTATCAACGTACCGTGCTCTAAGTCAGTTTTTGGCTGCCCCCGGTCGAACCTCGGCAGGGCGACTCCCGAGCCCTTTGGCCTGTCTCTAATTTTGCCTGGGATTCCTTTCCCTGGCTTCGAGCTGTTTCGTTATCAGCCCATCCACTTGGCTTTGCTTCAGTGCTGAGCCTTGCATCCACTCCCACTAAACAGCAAGAGGGAAAAACAGCCCCCTTCCGCAGCCTGGCTGCAAAGTGGGGGGGAAGGGGGGGAAGAAGAGGGCCTAGCTGCAAGGCCTGCCTCTCCCCCTCTGTCTCTCCCACTTACCAGTTGTTTGTGAGTCACATCTGTCACAAACACTCACTTCAATGCTGTCTCTAACTGTGGCCTAGGCAGAGTTGGGGGGGGGCGCAGGGCTCCCCTCTCCCCCCCAGAGGGGGGAAGAAGGAGCCCAGCCACCCCCTGGCCTTCTACACCTACACGCAGCAGACACCAACAGCAAAACTGCCAACAGCTTCCGGTGCTGTGTATATATGATTTTTAGCAGAAATGAACAAGACAAGTGGTGATTGGCTCTCCAGGGAATGCTGCCCTGGCACCCAATCACCTCTGAGCCCCCGAACTCTCAGGGGGGGCCAATCTTAACCCATGACATATACCCATGAGAACAGATCAGTTATCTCTAGGTTGTTTCACTGTTGTTCCCTGAAGCCAATATCAAAAAATGGCAGTACAGGCACATTGACTTGTCACAAACTTGGCTAGTATCAGGCAGTGCAAAACTAGCAAAAAAGACACTTAGAAACTTTGTCTTAGAAAAAGACTGAGTGAGCATATAGGCTTTGAAAATCCCAGGTTCAAGCAGTGAGTTTAGATGGCAGGAGATGCAGAAATTCTATTTAAAACATTCCTGATATTATTTTCATGGTTGCTTGCCTTTCCCATTAATTCCTTCATCATTAGGGTTTTTCTAGATTGGAAGGACTGTGGGAATCAGAGCTGTCATGCTCTTTATGATTTTTCTTCAGTGTTACATGGGTGAATAGGAATGGGCCCCCCAGGAAATCAAAAATGTTAGGGACATATGAAATCCCAGTTGGACTGCGTCAAACATTTATTTTGAAATCCTTTGTTTTACATGCTTCTAACAGTATGGGGATTAAGTGTTCTCTAGTAATTTTGATAGTACCTTTTTCTGCAATAGGGGGCCCCTGGTGGTCTAGTGGTTAGGGTGCAGGACTCTCACCGCTGCGACCCGGGTTCGATTCCCAGCCCCCCGGGCAGATGGAGCTCGTCAGCCCTGTAAGGCAATCCGTCTAAGAGAAGGTCACTCTAAACAAACCTACGTTCTGAGACCTTCACTGCCACTGTCCAAGCTTGCTCGGCCCCGGCAGATGAACCTCAGGATTAAAGGGTGGGCTCAGTTCAGCGCACGCTGTGTCTCACCTAAAAAATCCACTGCGCAGGCTTGAAGGGTTAATGACCTTTCCCAAATCTTCGCTCGCGAAGACTGGCCATTATTTTCTGCAATGCTTCTCGGCTGCAGGTGTCAAAAGTGCTTTGAAAGGAATTATAGTGATTTCTGAAAATTAGCATCTTCCTCAGGAAAAGAAATTCTGCTCCTTAATTTATGGGATTATGTACCTTTAGGAGGTACAATCACTGCAGAGTCTTTGGAGACTGATGAGATCTTCACATTCATATCTCTGGATTCAGCACAGCTTCCCTTATGTTAATATCTCATCGTAACGTATTTACCTCATTATTTCTCTGTTTCTTTAATCCCTTTCAGAAAGATCATTATGATTATCATTCTGCTCTGCTGCTGGCACTATGGCAGGGTAGATATTACAATACTCAAAAGTCTCCTATTCATAATATTCAATGAAAGTTCAGAAATTGTGTGTCAGGTGAGTTTAAAGTCTCTCTGTCATTAACTGCCTGTGTTCTTTCTCTGAGAGACTGAACTGTGAAATAATGTGTGTGTAGATGTTCAGCATCTTTTCCTGCACACAGTTAGGGTCAAGCAACTTCTTTATGCAATGGTTAGAAACCATTATTATCTCATCATTACCATCATCTGTATGATGGTGGAGGAAATGCAAGAAGACTTTTGTGCTTTGCTAGGTACATTTTTATTTCATTTCCTGAAGATAGTATCCTTTCTTTTTTTTTTTTTTAAGGCCACCCTTATCAAACAGACACCTAAACCCTGTTTGGATCTGCTCATACCTCTCTGTTCAAGTACCCCAAGTCAGTGTCAGTGTGATCAGCTGAGGAGGGTGCTTCTTGTCCTGTATTATCTTGCTTTCATTTTTCTCTCACACATACTATGAGTTTAGGAAGAAAAACCTGAAAAGTTTTGTATAAAAGCTGAACAGAACATGCTTTTTTCCCATCTTGTTAAATATTTTAAGATTTGAAAACCATTCCTCTTTTCTACTATGATGGATCTTAATTGGAGAGAGAGATTGATCCACTGCCATCCAAGAATAACAAACATGTCAGTGGTTAGGGCACATTGTGGAAGAGGGAGACCATGCTTCTTTTCAATTTTTCTTTTTTTTGGAGCTGTTCCAAAAATAAATATCCACTGCCCATGAGTATTTTGAAGGCAGAACCGATCCTCTTTAACATGTAATACCTTTAATCTTGATCTAAAGACTGGGAAGTACCAAAACAGGAATAGAAATGGAATAAGCATCACTTTAATACAGCCCTGTAGCATACCTCATGTTTACAAAATTCTGAAGCAAGACTTTAACAGCTTTTTGTGTTAAAGTGTGTGTTACAAATTCACAGCCATTACTCCATGAGGAAAGGACAAACTGCGTGCTCCCATCTGGACAGACTGGTCTTGTTTCACTGGATATCTGAAAGAAGGACACCTTCTTTGCTGCTGTTTGGACACTGCAACTGAAATAGCTTTGTTCTGCTGCAGCTCTCCCTTTAAGTTATTTTTTATTTGATCTTGTATTCAGCATTCGCATTCAATGAAGGGATGGTCTAGGAAGGTCTGATGTGCTCTACTGTATGACTAATAGAGGACAGAAAATGAGAATGACTGGTTAACTTTCCTGGCTTCGTAAAATACCCCCCAGCTCAAGCTGCCGTTTTAATTTTGCATCAACCATTGCTCTGCCAAAGGCCTTGATTTTTTGGTTTGCTACAGAGACTCTAAAGACAGTTATCAATGCTAGGATGATTGTTCCCTGATACAGTCATCAAAGGACCAACCCAAATGAATCTGTGGATAACAGAATCTGGTAAGAGAAAGCAAGACAAAATTATATAGGCCTGTTTAGGATATCTAAGGTGGTTCTTTAAAACAGAAACTTATGATGAAGTCTTGCAGCGTCTTAGTCCCTTAAAAGCATAAATGTTTCAGAGTCCTGATTTTGAAATTAAGTTTATACTCAGGTTTTTAATGGCCTGCATACAATCAGAGGGATTAAGAGTTTGCATGTGCACTTTAAATGGTTTTAAAAATTATAATACATTTAAAAGTAGATTGTAAAGCTTGCTTTTCTGTAGGAGATGGATAAATTTTTTTGGTGCTTTATTCCTTTTGAATTCAGACTTTTCCTCCTAAGGAACATCTCCTTTGGATGTTCCCATTTGATTGAGTTATAGGCATTAATAAACTGCAGTCTGCATTAAAATCCTTATAATGTTTCTTATTGCTTCTTTCTAGGTGAATTAAAGGAAGACAATAAGTTGGACAAAAGAGATAAGTCCAGTGTGGGGGATGAATCAAAGAAAACAGATGGTAAGGACAAAGGTTTATTGCATTTTGTCACCCATTTTTATATGCAATCTTTTGATTCCTAAATATCTGTAGTTTATTCTAAAACAAACAAGAAAATATGTGGTAACCAGAAACAGACTTAAGAGAAATAGTCATTAGATTTGAAAAAAAGCCATTAGGGCATTCTGAGGGAAAATCATTCCTTTCACATAATGCCTAGCACCATTTAGTTGAGCTGGTAAGCCTTATCCATCAATTTTTGCGCAGTGCCTGAACGAAAAATCCTGGATTATTAGAGTTACATAGTAGGAAATGCGGATTTGTGAGATTCTATCCTTCTGACTTTCTTTGTGCTGTATTCTGCTGTCTGTAAGGACAGGCTGCATTGGAGACGAAGAAAACAGAGCTAAGAAAAATACTGCACAAGATGTCCCTGTTTTACATGATCACGTTATACTACACCAATACAAACACAAAGCTTTCTTGACTTAATTGTCTGAAGGGGAATTTGCCCAATGTTGTCAAACCCGTGGTGTGAGAAGCAAGCAGCAGCGAACATATCAGCATAGAGGTCCTCTATTGAAAAGGGAATTGATGAAACATGGTTGAACTGAAGCAATCCCAAGCCGTAGGATGACTTCATGGTCATCTGGGAATAATTTCAAATGAGTCTGAGCCTAGTGTAGAGATTCACAGACATTTTTAGCAGCCTCAGCAAACTGGAAAAATAACTCTAAATTCTGTGGTGCGTTTACTCTTATGCACTTCCTCACCTGTGTACCACAGGGCTCTCAGATACTATCTGAATCCACATTGCTTAAGGCAGTTGCTGAAGTATTAGGTAGCAAACTAAATGGAAACAAGTTTTCTAGCATTTTCTGTGTATGTCTCAGTGAAATTCACTGAATCATAGCTATTCCTAAATGTAAATAATACAGTGTTTGCTTTGATGGTCAAGAAAGACAACTTCATTGTAAGTACTGCAGTTTAGTATGATACCATGTTTTCTTTTATTACTTCTTTTTAAGAAATATTTAAATTCCTATTGCTCTAGCAAATGTGGCAAATAAGAAGAAAATATTTTACCTCAATTAAAAATGTAGAAAATTTCATCTAGAAGCTTGTATTTATTTCAGACATAAATATATGCTTTTTCTTAAGAGGCTCCTTAGTAGCAATTGTTTAGAAGAATTCAGTTATTTTGTTAAGAGGTCACATTACTTACATAGTTGAGTTTTATGTTTGTCAGGAAAACAGTCTTGAACAAATACCATTTACAGCTCTTAGTGCGGTTATGCAGAAATTAAGCACAAATACTCAACATGTTACTCTTCAGATGTTCATGAGTATGTGCAGCTCTGTATGTAACTATCAAAACCCTAGAAGGATTAATGGGCAGAATGACTGTTCTCCCTGCTCCAGTGGGTGATGGCTGAGCAACAGCTGTGCTGGAAGGCTAAAGCCATTGTAGGACCAGATGGATGCGGAAACACTGTGGCGTTTTAAAGAGTATTCAGGAGCACCAGCCCAGCCAAGAGAGTAGACCCATGAATCCCTAACTTTGAGGACAAGGTTACATTTGAAGGCCTTCACTGTCAAGGTCTTAGAAAGATTAGGGGCACCTATTTAGTTAGGCTGGAGGACCAAGAAGTGAATATTTCATGCAGACTTGAAGATAGAGGGTGTGAATTTGGTTGCTTGCAAGTTGCTCATCTTTGTTTGATGTTATTTGTACAGGAGAAAAAATAACAAATAACAAGTACAAATCATCCCTTTAGGGAAAAGACTAATATCATGGGACCAGTTGAATACAGTGAATAAGCAACTGTAACTATGCAAGTCCATTAGAAGGACAATTTGTAAGCTGAATGTTTTTCATTCAGACACTGTAGAGGCAGATTATAGATAATGATCTCATTGATAAAAATCAAGAGAAAAATTGTGAATTATGCACCTAAGAAAATAAAGCACGTGGCACTTCTGTTTTGCCAAATACAGCACAACCTGTTCTGTCCATTGCTTACTCCAGAATAAATCTCTTTACCAGCCATGTGAGGCATATGGAAAAAGGAACATGATCCATGGATAATACGTAGCTGTTTGCAAGCTACTGAAATGTTTACGCAAAAATATGTTTTCTCTGGTGCCAGTGCATGGTCTTTCACATGCCATATGCTGGGGAAAAAGATGGAGCTGGGAGTTAAAAAGATTGAGGTTATGGCTATAATGCACTCACCACATGTAGTTTGCTGGTGAGTTAAACTCAGCCCGGACTTTTTTCAGGGTCAAGGGTACATGGATTTTACAACCTCTGTTCTGTTCTTGGGTTTTCCGACCTCTATTCAGTATGTAGCTCAGGGGGTATTTGTATTAAACAGGTGCCTGTGTGTGTAGATTTACCACAAGGGCTTAAGCTTTCTCACCACTACCCATTAGCATCAGCTGAAGCCCTGAACTCAATCGACATCATACTGCTACCCTGTCCTGTGGCGCAGGCATCCTACATCCAGAGAAGAAAGTTCAGAATATATTTGGAATAAATCTTTGTAGGATCTGTATGCAAGTTGCTTTTTTAATTATATACAAAGAAAGTCATTGTAATATCTTCTTATAGGAATACATACATGCCAAAGTGATTCTGATATGTTTGTCCTTCTACTATGTGAGGAACCTAGTGACCATGGTCACATAATAAAATCCATCCATTGACACAAAGTCGTTGAAACTGCACATCTACACTGTAGTCACAGGTGTGAAATGTAGCTTCTGCGTCAATTACCTTGAAGCTACCCAATAATACTTCCAGTGCTTCCAGGAATGGGAATCAAGCTTGCTGAGACAGCGACGAACTATGAATCTAGCCAGAGCTTTGTACCACTGAGTCTATCCATACCAAAGCCAATTATATTAAACCTAGCTTGAGGATGGCTATGCAAGCTGCATGCCTTGGATTTCAGACTTAAGTGCTTCAAAATCCTGTGCAAGTCACTTGAACTTGAAGGTTAGTCTCCGCATGTTAATCTGATCTTCATAGTATTGGCTTTTTTTTCTGTGGGAGGTATTGCTTCTTACTCAGTACTGCCCTTTTTTTCCATTCCAAGAAAAGAAATGTGGGGCTGCCATTTCCCACATAAAGACGCAGCCCTGTCAGGGACATCATTAGCACAAGTAGTTTATCAAAAGTTTCCTGTGGGATAGAACACTGTTAAACCATTTTGGAAAACTTAATTTTCCCATGTGAAACTGTAAGAAGTCACATGGACATGATTTTTATCTACAATCCAACCTTTCTTTTTTTGCAGTTTTTTTTTTTTTGCTCATGAAACTAACAACAAATGAGAAAATTATTCTTCCCCACTTCAGACTAGATATAAGGAAGAAATTTTTACAGTGATGGTAGGCAAACAGTGGAACAGTTTATTCAGTGAGGTGGTAGATACTACATCCCTGGAGACTTTCAAGGCCAGGTTGAACAGGGCTCTGAGCAACCTGACCTAGTTGAAGATGTCCCTGCTTATTGCAGGGGAGTTTTACTAGATGACCTTTAAAGGTCCCTTCCAACCCAAACCATTCTGATTGCATGATTCTGTAATTACCACTTTCACAGAGTATTTCTACCACCTCCTCATTTTTTTTTTCTCACTGGGAAGAGATTCTGCAATGTTTATGCAAAGGTTTCAGTGTAACTCTTTGTTCCAGGGACCAAAATGCAGTTTATTCAATCAAATATACTCTTTCAGCTACAAACTATAGCAAATAAAAGGTTCCCTTTTTGTGTGTTTGTCCTGACAACTTATTATTTCAGTGGTAACATGCACGTTTTAGCACAGAAATATACAGGATATTTATGTGTTCAACAGCTGCTGCATACGGTGAAAGCCTGTGCCCGGGGTATGTGTGATGAGCAATGCTCCCACCTCGTGGTCAAATCGAAATCCTGCGTTTTGACAGGTCTTTGTTTCAATACTACATTCTTCTATGCAGTGCAACACAATAGAATATAGTATAGTCGCTATAAAATAATGTAATATAATACATGATGCAGCCTTTTAAATATGTGGACTGTATTACAGGCTTACCAGAAATTGAGGTTTTAGCTTGCTTTATTTGATTTTGTTAAGATATACTGTTGCTTCACAGTAGTGAAAAGCCTTTCCTATATGTTCTATACAGTGCCTATGCTGACATGTAGAGCTGCCTTTTGGTCTTAATTTTTCTTGATAATCATTCCTTGACCAGCAAGTGAAAAATTCCCTGATTATTAAGTTAAAATATGGGGCCTTCATTTCTTTCTGTCCCACTTGTCCCAAAAATCAAGTGGCAGAGTAGCTGGCACAGAATGTTGTTATCTGAGAATGCCTTTGGTACAGGAACATAGTGATGTGAAGAAGCCATGATGGTGGCTCCACAATTATACAGACAAAGTTGAATTAACAAGATTCTTCACAGTTTCATTTGGCAGTGCTGCTCACCCATTTAATAATTGCCTGTCTTTGCAGCCTCCTGCAAGATACAGTTTTTGTATGTGTCAATCTAGCCAAGACTGCTACATAGCAATGAACACTAAGCAGAATTCTGATGAAAACCTGCTTATGTGATATTTGTAATGCTGGTGGTTTTTTAAAACAGGTTACTCAAGCATATAAATTATGAGCATTTGGCTATGTCTTCTTGAGAAAGGTAAAAAGGTAAATTTCAGGTCATATAAATAATGGTGCTATTTCTAATTCTGTTCCAAAAATAAGCTGATCTCTCCATTATTGTCAGAAGAAAAAGTTAATAAGGCAGACACGTATTTCTCCTTGCTGCTTGATAGTGCTCTTGATATTAGATGTCATAATCTGGCAACAGTGGCAAATTGGAATTACAGGAGTGTAAGACTACTTCTAAAGACAGTGTCCTTCCTTTTCTCAGTTCTTTTTTATGGCCTGTTAGATGAATTGCATTAGAGATTATTGCCTCAGGTTACAAATCAGAAAGTTTTGTACTGTTAGCTTCTGGAAAAGCTTGCTTGAAACATG